AAACCCCAGTGGGAAGACAGAGAGTAACACATCCACATAACCTATCAAACTATGTTATCTGGCTAAACCCAGTTGTATCCACTCTCCTACCTGTCGAAGCACCCAGCAGCCATACCTGCATGCAGAAATGCCAGCTCCCCTCTGCCAGCTGAACCTGCTGGCTTTTCCCCAGGTACCTTTATACCAGCATGATGTCCTTTGACTCCCCCTGTGAGGTTTGGGCACCCTTCAAGGCATCCAGGAGCAAGAAACAGGTCACACCCACAGGCATCCCTGAGGGTTGCCCATTGTCTGCCTGAATGGCTTACTGCTCAGCCAGGAGTGGCCAGGGTGCTGCTGGGCCCCCTTGGATACCACCTGAGTGCCCCAGCACACATAGTCAGTAAAGGTTAAGGGTGACACAGCACAGCCCAAATCTGCCTGTCCTCTGCTTGCTGGCACACAGGGAAGATTTAGATGCTCCAGTTGGCTGGAGCACACACTCCTCCCCAGGTGCCTGCTGCATAGGCAGTCAACAGCAGTGCGGGCACTCACCTCCCACACAGCCACAAAGGCTGCTTAATGAGGGAGACCAAACCCACTAAAGCTAATGACTCCCACATACACTGCAGGCAGGCTATTTGGTTTCCTTGCTACATTGAGCTAAGAAGGACATTGAAACTCTCATTCTTCTGAAGGTCTTCATGGACTTCAGACAGAAAAGGGAGCTGGGGCATTGCTCAGTTTGAGTCATTGCCATACCCATTTTCACAGGGAAGTCTCAGGTTTGAATGGTGTAGGTGGAGGAGACAGTGAAGAAGCTGGGCCTTATGAAATACCAGATAACTTACCACTTCAACTGAATAAATCTTTCCATTTCTGCACAGAAAGGCTCATGGTTCCCATAGAAATCACGTATCTTGTTTGCAGCGTGCCACACTAGGGAGAATTGTTTGAGTAACTGTTAAAGGACCCCAGCATTGCTTGAACAGAGACCACATAGGGAAGAGGGCTCTCTGCATGACAAAACTGCATCTTCCTGGCCTCCAATAACCCACAGTCCAGGAATCACAATTAAAAGATGTCCCCCTCTAGTAAATGAACTCGAATACTGGAACTTCCCCACCAACACTGCCCAGGCTGAGGAGGAATGTCTTGTAGGAAAAGCAGCCGGAAATGTCATTTAGACAGTGGGATTTGACAAATGATGCCCCATAGCCTGGAGGATGCCAGCCACACCACTGCATCAGGCAGCCTCTGACCAAGGGATTGCACTTTCTTACAGCTGCAGGAAAGGTTGGCAGGAAAGAGACTCAGTACCACAGGGGAACCCACGGGTAGCACAGCAGGGCCTGAAGGACAGGACTGAGCAGTCTCAGCAGGTCCCTGGCTGGGAGGGCCTACAGCTATCCTGGGGCAAGGTGAGGAGAAGGCAAGTGTTGTTCTGGGGCAAGCTGAATTGGCAGGAAGCGTGCTTTGAAGACACCTATATGTGCACAAAGCACTTGCCTTTGAGAGCAGCCAGGGTGCCCTCCGGTTTTTTTGACTTCAATTTCTTGCCTACAGGCACAAATACGAATTCCTACACAGTGGGATGACACCAGACATCAGAATTACTCTCCCCCCTAAAAGGATTGGCATCTTGCTGGACTATGAGAACTGCAGACTGTCATTTTTCAACGCAGATATTGCTCAGCACCTGTACACATTCAACACAGACTTCCATCATTACGTTCACCCCTGCTTTGCTTTGGAAACACCGGGTATCTTACGGATACGTACTGGAATTGCAGTACCCCCACGGACTGCTCTCCCATAACCTCCATTCTACAGCTACCATACCTACATTTAACCTGCAGCAAGCAATGTCCTCTTCAAGCAGTAACTGCTCCATTACACTCCCTATAAACCAGCTATCTCCCAAGAAAGAGGAAAGCGACCATAACCCACACCAGCTGCCAGGCCCTTACAATTTCTGCCCTCCTGGGACAGGACCTTAGTCAAAAACCATTATGGTCACAATTCCATCAGCATCCCAGAATTCTCCAGTTGGAAATGGATATCATCCTTCTCAGAGGGGACACTGTCACCATGCAGCAATGGCAGCTGGATCAGTGGTTCCCCCAGTGCTCATCTGATGCCCAGCAAACCCCCCTCCTCCAGAGCATTCATTAATTCCACTCTTGTGTTTGCTGAAGAGCTAAAAATTCAAAGAAAACCAAAAATAGCAAAAGGCATAATCACAGTACAGCTGCTAGACGGAGCTGAAAATAACCATGAAGCTGATTCACAATCAAGTAGTCTTGTTGCTACATGAAGTCTGTGACACAAGATAACCAAATACACCTCCCCTGTGTGTGAACTGTTAGTGCCTACCATGCACAGGGAGGCTTTTTGACAAGCACTGGTCTCAAGTAATAAAAAGACATTTTTACAGAATGCCCACACCTCTACTTCATTCACAAAACCGAGGCCTTCTGCAGTGCTGCTCTGCCCCTGCAGAGAAACCTAAAGCATCATTTTTAGCTGGTTCTTTCTGCCTATGCTCACCTCCACTTGGGTGTATTCTCCACACTCACAGATCTGTTCTCCTCCTCAGTGCTGAAGAATTCTCACCCCAATGCTGCACCCTTGAAGCTTTGGGTGTCCCGTGGGGTCTGGAAGCTCCGGCCCAGCACACAGCTGAAATGTCCTTGCTTAGGCTTCACTTCCAGACAGCAGACAATCAGACAGGCTTGTCTAGCTCTAAACAGCCTCATTCATCTATGTCAAAATTACCCGAATTCAATCAAGAGTCATTAACAAAGAAGCTTTTCCACAGATTTATTGCATATTCATTACAAAAATCATTGGTTCAAGTTTCCGTTCTAGGGCATGGCTGGGCACAAGCAGCAGCCTCTACAATATATAAGGTCTCTACCAATAAACACAGCCTGGTAACTGAGATTTGATGTAGAGCTCTGTGCCATAAGCTCATCTGTGCTTCCTCAAATAGCCTCATAAAACCAGGAGCTGAACATGCATTATGCAGTGATCAGTGCTGTCTTCTCTGGTCTATGCGTTTGTTTCACAAGCCTCAAAAAAAGATGGGTTTAGTGACGCTGAGCTAGGCAAGTACAGGGTCATTTCCTAAGTCTACTAGAATTCAGAGATTTCCAGGGTTGTTCTGGTCAGTGTCAGACCCCCTCTAAGGCAGGCCACAGACTGCAGCTGCACTGGCTTTTGGTCACAACACCTGGTGTCTACCAGAAACGGGTGATTCCACCAGCAACCACCACTGATGCAGTGGGCACTGCTGACAGTGGCAAGGCTGTACTAGAGAACAGCAGGTGAAGCATACAGCTCCTCTGCCAGGGACTGCAGTGGTGAAAAAGCTTCATTCTTTGCTTAAAAATGTATGCCTTGATTCAGAGTCCAGCTCTGACCCACTGGAACACATTTTACCTTTATCCGCCCAAAACTAAGTACCAAACAGGTATCTGAAAGAGTAAGATACACAAGTATCAGAGCAGAGGTAGGAAGATGTCTGACCCTTCCAACAAGCATTTAGAGGTGAACCCAACAATTCTGATGGAAGCAGATGTTCTACTGTGAGCAATACCACCACCTCCACTGGGACTTCACAACTCTCTCGCTGGACTGCTGCAAGGACAGATTTTCTGAGCTGAATGTGAGGTGCTTGGACACACTTGGGAGTGGAACTACAGGTACCAAACAGCTCTGTCATTACATTACCAGCTTGATGAATCTGCTGGAGAACACAGGCCTGAAGGCTGAGCATGGAGCAGCTGTCTCAGCAGAACATGGCCCAGTGCTCACCACCTGCCATGGTATGGGACAGCAAAGGCAGAACAGGACTATCTGAAAAAGCAACAAATAAATAGTAATTGGCTACTAGGTTGAAAACAATAAGGGAATGAGTTGACATGTTTCAGTTTAATATATGCTTCACCTGTCAGCAGTAACCCACACATTTCCTCCCTTAGGAATACCACCCCAGTCACTTAAATATTTATACAACAAAGGAAAAGGCATGAATAGCCTTATTTTTTTAAAACCAGCTGTCACTGCATTGTAAATAAATCCTTTACAGGGAAGCCACCATTTCCACTACCAAGTCTGTTGATCATACCAGTACACTCAGGCTGGGCATTCACATCGACCTCAACTTTCTGTGTAGTCCACCAGACAGGGTAAGTGTTGTCCATTTCTGAGTAAAGGCCACACCTGCACAGACCTGAAAGCTGTACCTAACAGTAAAAGGAGATGTTCCTACTGAAGCTAAACTACTTCTCATCTCTGGCCTGTCTACAGGAACTCTGGCTCACTGCTGAAGTAGATCATGTGAAAGCACAACAGCAGTTAAAAATGAGTTGTCCTTGTCTCTGACAGCAAGTTATGTGCTGCAAGATGCCTTTTTCCTGGTACCTGTTGGTATTTTTCTTCTTCTTGCTTTTCACTGTGTGCATTTACTAGTACATGCACCCCCTGCAGGGATTACAGCAGCAGGAACTGCTCAAGGCCAGGATAGCCCAAATCAGCTAACCAGGGACTTTGTGAGGGCTGGCTGCCAAAGGCCCTTGGACTTAGAAGGATTTACCCTCAAACTCCTTTTAAGTGGGCAAAAAGGATCACTTTTTCCAATCCGTTTCTGTTCCCGCTTGGTTTAAAATACACGTTGTGGCCACCGGAGGGCATCACACGAAACCTTTCCGCAAGGCTGCACGGGTTATCGGGTTTACATAAACCGTGGGGCTGAACAGATGGGTACAGCTTCCAAACCGGTTACCGTAATCCTTCAGCGTGTCCAGCGTCGCTCCTCAACCAGTCCTGGAGCCGGGAACAAAGGGACCCACGGGACTGTGAGCGAAAACACGCAGGTTAAACATTGTCACAGCACAGATAGAACAGGCAACCCAACAGCCCTGAAATTTGGCGTATTGTGTTCAATTCAAACCAGACACACTATTTTCTACAGAAATACCCGAGCTGCAACCTGCTCCCTCTAGTTACCGTTAAAACCTTGTAGGTAGACGAAGTAGGCCCTGACTTTCTCTCACAGGCAGGCCTTGTTCCTCTACCATTTAATTTAGGAGGATAGTATCAGTGGAGTCAATATAAGTCACTGGCTCCACTTTCTTAGTCCTCCGGCTATCTCCTCAAGGAACTCCTGGGCAGTCTCAGGGACCGACCAAGAGCGGGGTCTTCAGCTACTTCCTAAACCCATGGCATTCCCTCCTCACGCAGCGCTTACCTGCGCCCTGGGAGCTCCACGCCCGAGGCACATGGCGACAGATCCTGCAGGGCCCCACAGACACGCGGCAGCCGCGGGCAGAAACCGAGCCGCGCCTCCTCCCCACCGGAGCGGGTGTCCGCGCTTGGCCCGGCCCTGCTCAAGGCCATATTACCACCGGCACGGCCGCCTTTACGTGACCTGCGAGCGGAGCGAGTGCTGAGGCCGCCCCCAGGCACCACGTGGCGCTGCTGCGGTCCCGCGGGGGGCTCCGCCGGTCGCCGGTCTCTGTCCACGGGCAGAGCGGAGGAAGCGCTGCACTGCGTGGGGCCGCGGGCAGCCGCCACCGCCACGAGAGCTCCCCTTGTGCTGCCGCCATTTCCTGCGGGCGGAGGTCGCCGGGCCGAGCCCCGCCCCGTGTCGCTGGGAGAGGCCGCCCAGAGCCGCTTCCTGCCCGGGTGCGGCGGGGCCGGCTCTTCCGCTGCTGCAATAGACGCGACCTGACGGCCGGGTGGCTTTTGTTTTACCCGGAGTGGGGAGCCCTGTCCCCGGGAAACGGCGGGTGTGGAGGCGGACGGGGCCGGCGGGAGTTGCCGGGGCTGCGGATGAGGAGGGAGCTGGCTCGGGACGGCACAGGAAGCGCGGCCGAGGGGCTGGGTCAGCAACGGGGTGTTCGCCAGAGCAGTAACGGACTCGAGCCCGAGTCCCCGCGCACGGCACCCGCCTGTCGGCTGGGCAGCGGCTGCTCTGGCCATAGCTGGTTGCGTCCCGCAGCCCTCCCAAACGCCACCATCATGTGCAATACGTGCTTCTCTTGTCTGCCTCCTTCCGTAACAAGTGCTCGATCCTGCAGATTTAAGCATGTGAATAATGACATCGTGATACCAGAGCTGGTGAGACACGCCGTTCTGGGCTCTGCTCGGGGCACAGCTCTGACATGGCTGAATGGGAGCCACCATATCGAAGCAGGAAGGGCCACAAAAAAGCTGCGAGTTAGCTCAGTCCCTGGGGTCCACAGCTCCCAAAATCACCTGCGTGGGCACCCATCTCCCAGACTGGGACAAAAGTAGCCTGTGGATGCCTCTGCTCAGCGCTATTTGCAGCCAGTTGGACTCATGCACTTCTCTCAACCTTTAAACCCAATTCCCTATGTTCCATCTAAAGTGCTGGAAAACGCATGGTCAGGATGTACCCGGGGCCACCCAGCACCTCCTGCCCTGTCCTATGCCCATGCTGACCTGAAAGCTTCAGCTCGGATGCAGGAATAAACCTATTTATTGTGCCTGTGCAGGTAGAGTCATATATATTGGATATATTTAACAGCCTATGCAATACACACTTCATGAAATGAGTATACAATGGCTTTGCCATTTATAATTGAGTTTAAAAAGCTTTCTTGTAGCAAGAGTCAGTAGCAGCCCTGCTTGCCTTCACTCCTGGGGTGTGGCTGTTTCTGCCACCAGGAAAGCGCCTGGTACCTTTAGTACCAAGTACTAGTAAAGCACCTGGTACCTTTAGTACCAAGTACTAGTAAAGCACCTGGTACCTTTAGTACCAAGTACTAGTAAAGCACGTGGTACCTTTAGTACCAAGTACTAGTAAAGCACCTGGTACCTTTAGTACGGGCCTAGGCCTTGGGAAAACTTGAATATCCTGTGAATAAATCATTTCAGATCTTAGAGGTGAAACGATTTCACCCCACCAGTCAGGCTGGCCAGCCCAACTTGAAGCCTTATTTGCACGTTTGCCCCTTTCTGCTGCAGTTCATGGTTAGGAGGGCTCAGATATTCCCTCCCTTGGACCAGCTGCACTCTTGGGTTTCACCACACTCCTCACTCCTCAGGGCCTCCCAGGACAGCCAAAGGCAGGAAAAACAGCCTTGGAAGGGAGAGCTGGGGAGTGGGTGGTTGCTGAGGCTCAGCACAGAGGCGCTGTCGCAGGTAGGGACAGGCGGCTGGGCTTCCTTCCTAAGGCTTCCTAAGGCAAGGAAATAGCCAGAGGTGAAGAGCAGGAGTCATTAAACACCCCTGCGGGCTCTGTGTGCTGGAGGTAACAAAGCTCAGCTTGGCCTCAGCAGAAGAAAAGCAAACTGCTCAGCAGACTCCTCTTCCAAGCGGAGTAAACACTTTGCCTCCTACCCTTGAAATGGCTTATCAAAGAGCAGTATCTTGTCAAAGCCTCTTTCAAATCTGGGCTAACTGCTGTTCATGCTATTATTAACTGGAGGCAGTTTGGGGAGGCATGGGGCTTTGATTCCTCTGACATGAAAGCTTTAAAGAAGGGAGAAAAGTCACAGTATTGACAACCTGTGATACCATGGCATAGGATAAAAGCCTAGCTGTCATTTTTGCCTGCACAACCTCACTGTGCTTCAATGGCCTGACTTTGGGATAGCTCAAGCCTGATTCATGACTGACAGTTTTCCCCCATGGGTCCCACAGATCATGACCTTTCTTTCTCTCCAGCACCACACAAAAGCCATGAGAGAAAGTCATGTTGCTTCCCATACATGGAAGCACATTTTCTACAGTGATTATTTATTAAGCCCCAAATTTCTGAGCATGCCCAGAGAGATCGCTTGTATTGACATACAGAAAAGGACAGTTAAGATCTGACTTGCTCACAACCTGCCAGACCTAAAGGAAGACCATTGTTCCTGGTGAAGAACTTCCAATTCAGCATCACTGTTACAACCTGTTGTCTTGCTTTGCCTTCCTGTCTGTGCGTTACCCCCTGAGTTAGTATCTAGCTCTTAAAAGAGGTAAATAAGCTGAGAGGTCAAAGGACAGGCAGACCAAAATACAAATATCTGTTTAAATTATAAATAGGTATTCCTTTGTCCTTTTGCTGCACATGGAAAAGCAACCATTGGCTTCTGGGCTGTGTGGTGCCGCCTTGGTCCCTCAGTGGCTTTCTGCGTACTGCTAGTGTATCTTGGTGGCACTGGGTCAGCTTATGTGGGAAGCTCTGAGGAGCAGGCCTGAGCACAGGGCTCTGTGCTTACAGCACTAATATCAAATGGAAGGAAATCCAAGCTCATGGAGCAGCTGATCAGAAGAGGTGGGAATAAGCCTGAACTTGGCTGAGCCATGCCACCGTGGCATTTCAGGTACAGACTATACTAATCTGACCATGTATTTGCAACCAGTGTCAGGGCAGCTTTCCTTTAGAAAGCCAAAATGATCTAAGAGGTGGGTGGATCATGGGTAAAAAAATAACACCCAAGAGGCAGACTGTAAACTGAGCTAAGCCAATCAAAGTGAAGTTTAACCTCACCCAAATCAACACGTTGGGAAGGGTTTTTATTTGAAAGTCCTGAGGTGGGGCTGCTGCTGGGCAGATGTTTCTCTGTGGGATGCCAAGTGGGAAAAACAACCCAAAAGTCCCTTTTTTCCAGACTACTTTATAGAAACACTGTTGACTCTTGTTACAACAAAAGCAATACAACTACCACTTTGCTGGTACATACTGCACCAGACTTAAACATGTCACTGGTATTTACTTAACAAAAATTGTTAGGTATGTACTCTGATGTGGTTCAAAGAACACTTGTTTATTTAAAACAGCTTATTTTAAGACTAAGCTTTTTGATTTCTTTTTTCTGTTCCTGGCATGACAGAGCAGCTAAAACTTTCTGTTTTCTGACCCTGACTTGTCAGAGAACTGTCATAACTGGGGACAGCATATTTGCACTGAGGCTGGCAGCATGAATTTTCAGGGGCTGGGCGAGGCTGCTCACTTCTAGGGTTTGGTTGTATGGTGAGGAACATTGTGCTCTCCCGATGTCCTGAAAACTCTCTATTCATGCAGTTGGAGTCTTTCTCCCGCACTGTCCCCAAAAGCAGTGCCTGATGTTGTGCATGCTGTTCCCAGCCCAGTGTTGGTGGGGTGGCTGGGCATCTTGCCTGCTCCTTAGCACTTACATTCATGCTCTATCATTGCAGTCTGTCTTACTTACGGTAAGCAGTGTCTGAAATAGCTGTCACCACCCACTGCCGGGGACAGGGACTCCGTGCACACACGCCGATGGCATTCAGCACTCCCGCGGGTCTCACTGAGGTCAGGACAAAGTGGGGAGGGAGGATGCATTTCTGGCTTCTCGGGAGCTGTGACAGGATCTCTGTAATGCAGCAGTGACAAACTGTAATGAAAGCACCTGCTTCCTAATTTCCCTTCCCACTTCTTTTGAAAGTCAGCACAGTTCAACCTGGAGCACTCAGCAGCAGCCTGGGAGGACCCAGGACTAGGCCAGGGTTTGCTATGGGGTGAATGCTACCAGGCCACTGTGTTTCCCTGCAGCTTCTTTTATCCACCTGCAAAAGGGCTCTGTGGGTCTTCTTGTAATGCGCTTAGGGATCTGCAAAGTAATGTGAAGAAAAATATTACAAGCAAAGTAACATTTACTTTATTTTTTAATTTTTAGGCAAGAAGGGACAGTTCTGCTGGAGGTGCAAAGCAGAATTTCTCACACATTCCACACTGCAGATACCAAGGGAGTCTCATCAAATGTATTTATCTTTAGGCTGAAGATAGAGCCATACCTCCTCCCAGGGAAGCAGGATGCCGCAGGATCGCCAGCCTGACGTCATCCTACTTGGTTAGAGAACATGCTGAACTTGGCACTCAGCACACTCAGGTTGAGTTAAGAGCTAACGTAATGAACTCTGGGGAAGGATTTACATCAAATACCACTTTGGAATATTAAAGACAGACAGGACCAACTTCCCACTTGAATAATTACATACTGTCTAAATTCCTCCTTTCTTTCGAAAACCAGGCAGTCACCTTTTCACTTCTTTTCGAAAACTGTGTCCCGTGTGTGCTAGTTCACTACCTCAGGAGACTCCTATGTGATTAAAAGACAAAGTAACTGCTGTTAATTACCATGGGCTGAAGCAAGATTACTTTTAGCTCTAGCAGTGACTCTTGCCACTCGAGGGGGGGCGCAAGCAAGCCAGGGAAAGATTCAGATACCAATTGTCCACAGCTGCTTGTATTTTCTAACATAACCTCTAAGGCAGCTGTGCCTGTGAACGCTCCTGAACTTCGATTTGCTTCAGGGAGTACAATACTTAAGACCATGCATACACAGTCATACTGTGTGCAGTAGCAATGCAGTATTCATAAGCTGGTTTAGTTAACTATGTTTGTATCCTCCTTCTGCCTGTGGATACCAGCGTAAGGCGGCTTTAACTTAAATCAGAAAAAGATTTTCTTGTAGAAGTTGTTGTAAGCAGCAAGAGTCAGTTGAAAGGCAGGATTTAGTCCCAGAGTTATGACTGTGTGTTTGAGGGAGATCCACAACCAGTGGAAGTTAAGGGAGGGGCTCCCAGCAAACTGGATCAGAAGAAAAATGGAAGATAGAGAAGCTGAGAGGGAAAAAGTGGAACATCAGATGACCAGAAGACTGTTTTCTGGCCTGAGAAAGACTTACCAGGCGAGGGTTGAAGGTCCAGGACTTCCAAGATGTTTTGAAGCCTCAAATCCATTTTGCTAGTGGCTCTTGGTCCTCTGGCCTTTTCTAACTCAGTTGTCTTGCTTGTTAAGGAGGATGCTAACACATTGCTTCACAGGATTTGCAAAGCTATGTTCACTGAGGTTTGTGTGGGAAGTGTGGGAGAGATTCTTAAAGATGTTAAACAAGGGGAAAAAAACGAAAGCCTGAGACACTTTGCTCTAGCAGGCACAGAGAGAAAACATTCAGTGGAGTTGCAATACTGATGTCCTTTGCCCACAGAGCCATAGCTTCAGAAGAAGAAAAAATAACTGAAGCACATGGACATCCCCTTGCTCTAAATCAGACGCACAGGCTGCACAGGGACATACATGGCAGTAATTTAAAAGCTCATTTTCTGCATCCAAACATGACGTCGGGATGAAATACAATCCATTCTGCTGTCATTTAATGAGCACCCCTGGGACCACTGTACCTGGGAGGCATGATGTCACACATCAACAGAGAGATTATTTGTTTTGAAACTTGTGAATAGCTCTGAGGCTTTATTTCAAAGTGCTCCACGTGGAGTCATGACTCAAACCCTTCTGGTCTCACAGAAGGGCACAACTGACTGCAGTTTCCTATGCTGTTTCTGAGCATCTTGTAAGGGATTAGTAGATGCTTATTATCCTTTCTTCTGTGTAAGGAATGGCTTTGTCATTGCTTCAATTCCTTCATGTTCATGACACATTTTCTTAAGTGTCATATCAATGATGGCTCTATTGAGACAAGCAGAGGCAGCCCCAGCAAAAAGCACTGCAATGAAAACCAAGGCATTCATTCTGTTTCAAGTGATTTTTAATTTGCATATAGCCACAGGGAAAATCATAGAATGAAAGCTGTCTTCAGACCCATGACAAGGTAGCTGTGCACAACAGATGGTTTCTCCTTGTGTAAGAAGCAATTATTACTCAGAATTTTATACCTGTCCCTTGAAGGGACCAAGATATTAATCCAGGGCAATTTGCTGAGGGGCCAACTTCTTTTTTACCAGATTATAATAGTTCAGACTTGCCTGGAAGCAACTAAAGTGATACCCAGGTTTAGCAGCAGTATTAGCTGACTGAAAATACGCAGCATGGAAAATAGTCAGTCATTCTGAATGGGTCATTTAATGCTGAATTGCTGAATCTTCAGTTCTAAAACCCAAAGCTTTAAGATTAAAACCCCAGAGCTGCATAAAGAACCTCTCCTTAATCACGTCTACTCTTGTATTTGTATTAGAACAAGAACAAATGGAAAGCATTACACTGTGTAAGACTGTCAGCCTGTCTGAAATTTGGAATAGCTTCAGTTATACTCTTCCAGTTTATTCCATCATTGTCCCTTGCATGGTGAAGAAGAAAAGCCATGGTTTCTGTCCTAAGCAGAGCTCCGTCACTGAGTGTACATTTCAAAAAGCATGGGAAGAGATACTAAACTGTAAAGGGTTCAAAGCACAGGGCATGTGATGTTACTGTGTAATCTTGGAGAAGAAATAAAAGGGATCTGGAATGTCTGAGGAATTTGCAATGGGATTGAAAGACATCTGGTTCCTGGAGTGATGAATATCACATTAGAACTATTACTCTTCTACAGCAAGGCCCTTCCTGCTGCATGGGCAGCAGCCTGAAATCATTCCCACTGAACCTGCTCAGCCACCACTGAACTGCACACACCATTTAAGAGATGTAGCTTGTAGAGAGCAGCTCAGTGGGATGAGATCTTAAGTGAGGATCAGGCATGGTAGTTCCAGACTTTAATCTGGCCCTGGCAACAGTGAAATTTAGATGGACAGCAGAATGAATGGAGCTGCATTCATTAGCTGCAAATCCATGTTTTATGTTAAGTGAAATTATTGCACACTAAGATGGACATAAATCTGGCTGATACAGAGGGTTGATTGACACAACTCTACACTCCAAGTGATAGCATTAAAGATGCATTGTGAATTTCAGGGATTTAATCACACTGATAACATCTTTTCAAAGATGATGCATCAGGCATTTTATTACCATGCATTAATATAACCCAAAATATTAACTATGCTTATGAAGGAAGTATTTTTTCTGGCCAGTTCTCTTTAGTATCTTTATGAATGATTTGGATGAGAGGATCGAGTGCACCCTCAGTGAGCGGGTGCACCAAGTTGGGTGGGAGTGTTTATCCACCTGAGGGTAAGAATGCTCCACAGAGGGATCTGGAAAGGCTGGATTGATAAATTGAGGCCAGTTTTAAGGCTCAGTCCTGCACTTGGGCCACAATAACCCCATGTGATGTTACAGGCTTGGGAAGAGTGGCTGGAAAGCTGCTCGGCAGAAAAGGTCCTGGGGGTGTTTGGCAACAACCATCTGAATGAGCTGTCAGTGTGCCCAGGCAGCCAAGAAGGCCAACAGCATCCTGGCTTGTATCAGACATAGTGTGGCCAGAAGGACCAGGGAAGTGACTCAGTGCTGGTAAGGCTGCACCTCAAATACTGTGTTCAGTTCTGGGCCCCTCACTACAAAAGAGACATTGAGGTGCTGGAGCGTGTTCAGAGAAGGGCAACAAAACTGGTGAAGAGCCTGGAACACAAGTCTTATGAGAAATTGTTGAGGGAACTAGGGTTGTTTAGCCTGGAGGCTCAGGGGGGGACCTTACCTCTCTACAACTACCTGAAAGGAAGTTGTAATGAGGTGGGTGTTGGTCTCTTCCAAGTGATAGAAGATTAAATGGTCTCAAGCTGTTCCAGGGAGGTTTAGATTGGACATTAGGAAAAATTTCTTCACCAAAAGGGTTGTCAAGCATTGGAACAGGCTGCCCAGGGAAGTGGTAAAGTCACCATCCCTGGAGGTATTTAAAGGATGTGTAGATGTGACCTGGGGACATGGTTTAATGGTAGACTTGGCAGTGCTAGGTTAACAGAATGATCTTAAAGATCGTTTCCAAGCTAAATAATTCTGTATTTCTATGTTTTTTACCTCCTTCCTGCAGACATTTTCTGGGCCCATATGATGTTACTTTCCCTCTCTGACCCTCACTGTAGCAGGTAAGTGGAGGAGATACTGATGGTGTGATGTAGCTTCCTTCTAATGCAGCCAGCGTAGCTTTTCCTTGAACTAGGCACAGGAACCTGCTTGCAATAGAAGACATTAACACCAGGTGGCAAATTAAAGCTGACTACAGTAGGTGCATGTATAGGGAAAGACAACATAATATTGCCAGGAAAACAATGTATCTGGAAAACAACTCTCTCTTCTTGCATGTTCCCTTTGAAAACAGGGCATCCTTTTTTTCAGCCTTCAATGAAAATATGTCTCATCCTTCAGTATCAATTGTAGAACCCCTGGAAGATTGACAAGGACCCCATGCCCTCTTGTCCTACTATGTCCATGAGACAGTGGCAGGATCCGAGTCCCACTGGCTGAGGCAATATGCATTCTTCAATGAACTAAAGGAAATTAAGGGAATTCCTGCCCCAGCAGCATATAACCCAGTTTTTATGTGGGAAGGGATTGTACACAAGCAGGGTAAGGGCAGCACTGGCAGGAAGGCATAACACACACATGAACAGTAGTGAGCTACAAATGATGGTGGCCCATGAGTCTCATGGGCTTGGAGATGAAGCAGAAACACAGAAAAGAGATTAACACCTGAAGAGGTTACCTGTTCCTTTCTTATCTGCTTTAAGGCCCCTACTGCTGCAGTCTCCCCCGCTTGTGCCTCTTCAGGAATGGTTCAAAATGTCTCTGAAGTCATTTGCCTCTGCACTGACAACAGCCAGCCATTCTTTCAGTGCTTTTCTGCCTACAGGAAAGGTTGGCAGGATACTCTTCTAGTCCTTCAGTGGAATACAGCATGACACTGCTTTTAGCTGTGAAGAGACTTGTCCAGTGGCACACAAGGGTTTGATGGGCTTGCCAAGACAGGCCACAAACAGGGGCTTGCCAGTCATATACTACCTTTCATCACCCTTATGCCTGTCCAAACCCATCAAATATTCCTGTCCCAGACAGCAAGTATCTTATTTTTAAAAGAATTCCATATATCTGTTAGTCTGCAAACTGCAAAGTAAAAATACATTTCAAATGAAATGGCTTTGACGCTTCTTAAAATATACATTTTATTATTTTCTGGTGTTTGCTATGAAGGTTTCATTCAAATTGTGAAGGTATGCAGCCTTACAAACTTCTTGAGTTAAAGGTTTTTGTTGGTGGCTTTACGTTCTCTTTCTTTCGTGGCAGAGGAAAATACATAGGCTAGAAATTGTTGAAATTCATTAGATGTTTAGTATTACCTCTTCATATACACTGTGGAATGCTTTGTAGAAATACTATATAAAATAAGGCAGATTTTGACAGGGAATTCAGTCATAAAATTTCACAGGAGAAAATAGGAAGTTCCAACATATTATTATTATTGTAGCCAAGGGAAGAGCGGGTTGTTTTCACTGGTTTGTGGGAGAACTACTGCAGTTCTGGTGCTCAGACAGTATACAGCTCTTGTTTATTCTACAATTCTCAAGTGAGACCTTTTCAATAAAACTTACTTTAATTAACATAAATCAGACAATATTTAAACATACACATCTATCCTTACAGTGCAATAAAAAGGTATCATTGTATAGTATTTTGTATTTGCATTATGAAAATAAAAGGTCTGTACATCAATTAAATGTATATTAATGAGTATGAATCATGTAAATTTATAATGCATCTAAAGTTGGCTTTGGCTTTTAAGTATTTATAAATTCATAGAAAATATTGAACATCTAACAAAATAAATAAAACATAACATTTGAATCATAGATGCTAACGATCAACCTCAAAAATTCTTGTGTTATTTTTACATTTGCTACTAAATTTCTTAAAGAGAACTCACTTTCAGTAGTGCTCAGAAGTGAATGATTGCACCTTCTGTGATGTGAAAAAATACAGTACATCTATTTTCATAGATCAGAAATTCTTTCATAGACAGTTGCGTTTTAAATGTCTGATTGTTCTACGTAACCGTCTTAAGTGCTTATAAAAAGCATGTAGCTTTCTCATAAAAGCTGTGAGTCTCTTAACAGACAGTCTTCTAGTGAATGTTCGTTTAATGAGGATTCTTCAAGGTCTTCCAGCTTCACATACTGGTATGAAGATATCGCAGAAATATGTTCACTAATAAACCCTCTTGAGTACAAGTACTGCAGCAATCCAGTGTAATTCCACTTGGTGGGCTTATTTCATTGGAGTCCGCACACGTAGTCTGTGGAAGCCAACTGCTGACCTCATGTTCTCTTGAATTTGAAGGTTCCCCAAGCGCATGGGTTAGCCTTACTGTAATACTGAAGAGACCAAAACAAATCTGAAATCACATGAATAAAAGTGAGCTTGAATAAATATGCATCTGGTTAGTAAATTACACACCATGGTCTAATTGCTATTCTGGTGGTGGTCGAAGGACCCGCAGATTCCTTGCATCTAGTCCTTTCCAGTATTTAATGTTATTATTCAGATGCTCCATCAAATTTGGCAGATCTGCAAATGCTAGGGAAGAAAGGGCAGAGTGCATTTAGTTTGCAGAATTCAAACAGTCACATGATTCTGTCTCCTTAAGTATCACTTCAAATGTCTGGGCAACTGTGTTAAGTAGGAAAGCTTAAATCTGTCATACCAATACTTGAAAAGGTTTTGGCTGTATAGCTCTCATCACTCATGTATCACTCGGGCCAGTGAGAATAGTCCTGTAAGTCTACTTAATACTAGTACTGGAAGTCCCAGCAAAGGGACCCAGTTTTCCAGGAGGGGCATAGCTAATTATGCTTGTAATTATTCTACTTCTTCAAATCTCAGTCACATGTTATGAGCTGGCATTCAGGAGAGTCACATTTCTGACCACTTTTAACCACAGAGGCAGCACTTGGAAGGAAACAGATGCTCCCCCGAGCAGTTTCCAGACTGCAGAAATTTGTCTTGAAGAATAACTGATATTAACATGGACAAAATGACTGTGCCCAGTGCTATCAGGGAGAAAATGTTCTGTTCTCCTTTTACAGAGAAGCAATTTTGAAATTAAGAAAGTTAAACATTGCCTGAATCCAATATATTAAAGAGAAACCATGAGGTTGGCTTGTAGCAGTATCAAAATACTTTTAAGCAATAATGAAATTATTAAGCTTACTTGAATTGCAGAAATCTTCCCCCCCCCCCTTTCTTTAAGAGCCATAAGAAAGCACTTTTATATCCCAGTAGTTTCAAAGGTTCACACAGTAGTTATCATCAGGAAATACAGCAGAGTTTTGCTTACCATCCCAGGCATCAAACATATCAATAATGAAGTAATCAATGAATGATAATTGGGATTTGGGGATGCTGCAAGTGTTTCTGTCAAAAACTGGCATCACAACAGGTAAACCTTGTCTCCTTTCTTCATCAGTCTGCAAAAAACACTCTTGTGATTATTCATCTAAGACACATTCTGTTAATGGGCTTCTTTAAGTAGCAGATTGTTTGGCACCGACTAGAGCATGCAACTGATAAATAAACAGAGGAACCTGAATAAATCTGAAAAGGCAGATATGCACCTTTCTCTTTTATTCTTTTAAAGAGAATTTAAATGGAATTAAAGCTTGGAATTTCAGCAGCCCATTTCAGCTTCCTTACCTGTGCAAAGTACTCTTCAGAGATGCGTCCGGCCCACTCTATGCACTGTTCTATGGGTCTGCATGGATTGGAAATGTCAGCACACTTTATCAACATGCGCTTGATAAGGATACGGTTTTCTGGAGACCTGAGAACAGTTTTGATTGACTCTCCATCACCATTATTCTGTAACATTTAAGAATTAAAAAACAATCCATTAACAAGGGCTCTGTGCACTTACTCAGAAGCTTTGGGCCTTAGGAATGCTTTTAGCTGATCCTACACGGACCAGTCCTGCTACTGGCTACTGTATTTGATGTCCAGCCAAATTTATAGGGGGATTATGAACGTTAACCACAGTTGTGAACTAGCACTGAACTCCAGTTTCTGGATTCTGTCACTATCATTGTGACAGATCTCTTGGGCACCTTTGGGCAAGTCATCTAATCCCTCTATGCCTTATCTGTATCCTTAAAAGTGTGGAGAGGATCCATTCATCACTATACACAGTGATGAGCACTGTGTAGGCAGAAAAATGTAATTCTCTGCTGAAATCCAAGGATTAATGGACTTGCACATTTAGAGTGGAATAGTGGGTTTAAAAAAACCCAGCAACCCGAGCTGCGTGGTCATCCTCTGCATGCAGACCTCATCAGCGTGAGTATCAATCATTGTGACAGCATTGCTACTATTAGGAGAGTCAGATCCCACATTGCCTCCCAGGCATGCTCCTCACTTCCTTCCACAGGACCCCTGTTAGCTCATCAGTCTCTGACCTGACTGGGAATTTTGCTGAGAGTTTATCAGTATTAAAGTTATATATATATACATTAGAAGCATGCTTCTGAACAAGCTCATCTTTCCTCTGAAAGTCTAGGGAAGTTTTCACCCACACACAGCTTATATTTGGTTCCCAGACTGCACATACAAGCACGTCAACATACTCTATATTTGGAGCCAATATACAGCTAATATGATGATCCAGATTAGAAGGCATTTCTGTGGAGCTCTGATGAAGTAAATTTCCAAAGGACAGAGATTCAGGATTAAAATATCTTTTTAAATTACCTATAAGTACAGCATCGCTGCTTGACTCTTTATAGATGGGTAGATACAGAAATTTACAGCACCATCTACATGGAACAGAAACTCTTTGAAGCAAGGGATATACTAGACTTCTCTGGCACCTAACAAAGTCTTGGTCTACAGTCAGAGCAGTGAAGAAGTTAACAATAACAATAATTATGATAATGACAAAGCTCCTGCAATATTTTGTACGAAGAGGTGGACAAAAAGCAGCAGAAACATTCTGACCTTTTATTAGGACATAGTTTTCAGAAGAAAGTTCTTGTGTGGAAGAAAGTTCTTTCAAAAGGAAGAAACTGACAGTAATGAAAAAATTGTTATTTGGTAGTAAACTGGCTCAGAAACACCAGCTCTATAGTTCTTACCGAAATGAAACTTCCAAACCAATTATTTTCCCTCAGTTTTAGATATGTCAAAGGCAAAATATGCAGGAGATAAACTGAGGTGCACACACCTCCAAATACATGGCAAAATTATGCAAGAGAAAGCCAAAATAAAGTGGTGGAAGCTCCAGGAACACAATCACGGAAATGAAACACCTAAAATTATTAAGAGATCATGCAGTCAGGAATAGCAGAGAATATCCTAGTAGGTAAACCACCAAGAATCAAGAAAGGATGTTTGCTTCTGTGATCTGTTCAGACCAGGAGCACAGTTCTACTTGCTAGATGCAGATGTCTTGGGAATAAAATGTGCTAACTGTGCTTAGTCCCAGCATCCTGCTCAGAGTGCAGAGGTGTCTCTGCATGTCAGATGTTGGCTTCCTGTGATAGGTTTAGATGACATCATGAAAGGAAATGGGAGGATAAAGGATGCTGGAGCTGGAAAGGATTTTTTTCAGTTTATGAAACAAAAGAAGAAAGGAAACAAACAAAGAAGCTTCTCAGCATGGCTCTTTGAACAAATATGTATAAAAATAATAAATAAAAAAAAATAAGGGGAACTGTCCCATTTGGAACACATGGTTGTCAGCTCAGTCTGCGAACACAAACTGAGTCACCTCCATTATGGGAAAGCAGGCCAAGAAACACACAGTGCCGCTGCAACCAGATAATACAACTAGACTGGATCTGCCAACGTTATTCTGCTAGTAAGCAGCACAGCAAATGATCTGGTTTACCCACTCACATATTACACGCCTTTTAAGAGGAACCTCCTGAACTAAGGAACTCCCAACCAAAAGAAGGGAAACATTTTCCTTCTTGTGCTCAAAGGTACTCTTCTCCAGTTAAGCTCCAGCCTGCTTCTATGGATGAAGGAACAAGACCTGTTCCTCTCCCACCTTCAGATAATAAAAAGACTGCCCTCCCCCATTATAAATGTGGCTTTCTAAAAACCATGGTAAGAAAACAGAAAACCATGACAGCTCCTATAGGACGTTGCCACCCATACACTTTTATAACCATTTCTGAAAACCTCCTTGCAAAAAAACATTCCAACAAAATTATACACTGCTCTTACTGGCAACAAAACTGCTGGTTGAAGCTGTTACTGAAATCGGTGTGGTTTCTTCAGAATGAGTTCTTAGCAGGCAATTTCATTTTGTCCATGGGGTTCCAGATCGCTATTGATTATGTCTGTGTGATCTATAATGCCACCATCTTATAAAGATTAAAAAAGAAAGTAGACAGGAAACCCATGAGTGCTGTCAGGTAGTGCTGGAGGCTGAGGGCCCTTATTTCCACAGAACACACCATATGGCAGTAAATCACCTGCCCTTATGCTGCACCACCAGCGGTTCCTGTTGTGACTGAGGGTGTAATTCAGTTTCTGTTCTGCGCCAGATCTTGCCTTCTTTGCAGAAATGGCCAAGAACAATGCCAAGTCTTGCTGCTAGCACTCTATGGGCATGACAGTGTTCATCAAAATGGCATTTTTAACAGGAAAACAGAACATGGTTCTGGTCCCAAGTATGACATCATAACATTGCAATATCAATAGGATCCAAGTGAGCCCGCTCACCCTCAGTGGTGTGACAATCGTGCTAAGCAGAAGAGCATTCAAACCCAGAGGTGAAAGACACATTTCTAGTCTCTCTTTCTCCACACTTCTGGTGAACCTTCCCAGAACACCACGTGGGGATTTCCTACTGCCAAGGGTCCCCAGTCCCTGCCTCGTCATTTTAAGGAGGACTTACAGTGTTGCTTACCCCATTTTCTTCTAGTGCTGCCAAGGGTTTATTAATGCTGTTGACAAACTTGTTGACATGCTCAAAGTGCTTTGTCATTTCTGTTGCTAAGACCATGTCAATAATGACTTGGCGAAGGGTTCGGTACTCGTTCCTGTTTAAAGAAGGAAACAATTAAGAATGCTGGCTGGTTCACAAAGGGCTGCTTGCTAAAACAAGTTAACAAAAATGCTACAGACCATTTCCGTTGAAGAGAGGTGCTGGGGGAGGAAAGAACAGTAATAAGGGCTTGGGCAGCTGCATCTGTGTTGAATGAAGTATCCTTTGGTGTGCAGAGACATACATGCTAAAGGCATAACTGGATCTCTAGGAGAAACACTGCTAGAGCTGAGCAGAGGCACCAGCTACTCAGGAGGGCTGCCAGGACATGCTACACCAGTGTGTTCCCAAGGCTTTTAGCACAGACACTTGGGCAGTGGCTCATGTTCCAACCAAGTTTTCAGCAGTACTATTTTGCTGTATCTTGAGAGGGCCAAGGCAATGGCCACATCCTCACCCTAGATGCCTTTCTAGGGCTGGAAGAAGAACAACAGGTCCTTCACTATCCTTCCCATTGAAACAAGGCATTCACTTTTTGATTAATGCCCTGTGACTCTTTCTGTCCTCATTCTACACAGCAAACATTTACCCACTCAGCCACAGCTTGTCTTCTATGTCCAATGATACAAAATGATCCTTCTAGACTTACTAACATTAGTATTCACACTAAGTTCCTTAGATAGGGTCTGCCTTTTTATCCACAAGGGGAACTGAAACCATGGGATTACTCCTAAGTCTGTGCAGGACAGGCAGAAGCAATTCCACTTGTTTAGAAGCAAATTTCCACAAAGGCTATGGACAGTTATCCACAAGGCACTTGCCCCCCTCTAGGATGCTTGACTGCATTATCTTATGTTATACAGAAGAAAGTGAGAGGTGTCAGTGGGCAGACAAGGACCCTGGGTTTTAGGCTTACCTCTCCATGTTTTTAAATATATTGCATTTGCCATCCCTGGTGGTGAGCTGGAAAGCCAGGGCAGCATGATGGCTCTCCAGCACTGCCGTGTCATTGTAGAGAATTGCTAGCTCACTGCCAGCATTGCACAGGAAAGAATTTGTTCTTCCTGGGTGATCCACATCATGGACTGTGGCAGCAATGAGTGCGGCAACCTCATCAATCGGATCCAGAGTTTGCTGAAAATAGAAGGATGCTCAGTTTTCCTGGCAGACTTATGGGAAACCCTACTCTGTCCATAAGATTAAGCCAAGTTGCTGAGGTATAAAAGCGAGGACTCTGCAGTAAGGGTCAGATGTTCTAGACAGAGCAATGGAAAATTCATTATAAGCTTCACTGAACACTGCATAACTTTTTTGGCCATTTTGTGCCTCTTGAATTTTGCCTTAGCCCCACCTTTGACAAAGCACATCAAATTAAGCAAATACAAAGTAATAAATTAGAGTGTGGGTTTTCTTCTAACACCACAGAAACCAATTTCACTTGGAGTTAGGGTATTTGGCTCAGAAAAAAGACCAATACTGGTAAAAATTACTTTATTTCCACCAGACCCCTTCATTTCTTTTGGAAACTTAATGTGTCCTAATCACATTCCATTGACATGCTAGCTAGGTTTACAATCTGTAAGGAATGTTTCCCATATATCCTGTTCTATAACAGTGTCCTGGGGCTACAGCTAATATGAATTCTCTGAAGAATACTTGATGGTTTACATCCATGGAAAAAATTACATGACTGTTCTATACTTTCTGTATCAAGTTCTGATTCTGCTAGCATGCTGCGCTCTGTGGTTTATGTCTATTTACACTGGCCATTGCTTTGTGTCTAATTATTTTTACTTTACAATGAAATACAAACCCATTTGACTTTCAAGGATTTGTACTTCAGTTTTAATACTGTATTAACAGCATAAAGGAGATAAAGAACCAAGCATCTCAGAAAGATATTGTATACATTTGGAAACTAGCCTTTATGCTGTGTTTATGCTGGCTTTTTGTGAAGGATCACAGATACGAAAGAATTCTGTCAAAATAATCTAATAAAGTAAGAGACTCAAAAGCAGACATGTTCCCAGTTGAATCTGGGAGTAGGGCAGATAATTTCCATTCCAATTAGCTTGAATTTAAGGTCCAAATTTTCTACCGGCTTTGACAGTTCCATTCAGAATGGTTAGACTTGGTAGGTGAAAAAAACAATCCCTTCCCTACTTTACACCTCTTGAAATTCAGGCAGTGACTTGACTTGATGCAGCTATGATATTATTCATTAGGGACTGTCAAGAGTGTCTTGTAGAGAATAAGAAAAGACAAAGAATTGTTTCCACTCCAGGTTCATAGTTAGCATTGTCTGAAATATCATCTGCCTTGTGTTAGCTTCTGCCTTCTTTCTTTCAGCTGCTGCTCATGGCATTTTATTTTTGTGATATGAAGTTAAGAAAGAGAGATTTTTAAATCGGTCTCTCCTCAGACGTACGCACTAACCAGTGCTCAGTCTGGCTGAGAAAGACCTGTGCAGACAGAAAACAGCCAGAAGCTGGAGAATACTTGACCTGTAGGACCACAGCAGTGTATCTGACACTTATTCCCCAAGTCTGACATAACAGACTTCCTGGGAAATTTACAGCACCTTCACCCCAACTTCAGGTCACAGATTCTAACTTTGTCATCTTAACTCCTGTGGCACAGAAGTGGAAACGGTTCTGAGAATACTGCTTCCATTTGGGAGCCAGAAGATTTTCCCAGGCAAGAACTGACTTCAATCACTGAAAAAGAATCTCAGTGTTTGAGTGGCAGAATCTGGCCTTCTGTGTTTAGGTTAAGTTGCACTCTGGACAACGCAAAAGCAGCTGGGCTCTAACACTGAAAAGATAAAGAGAGAATTTTGAGCTTTGGTTCTCTTCTGCTGCAACATTTCTTTTCTCTTCCTCTATCTAGAGAGGAATGGAAATAACATTCTGGAAAAGGAGGCGGCAGTCATGCTTCTGTGGCATTGAAATGAGTCCAGATCTTGTCTGTTTTTCGTAGATATTCTTGGGAAGACCAGCTAAACCTTTGGCAAATCAGGTTCTGAAAACATCACTTGGCATATAGTATTTTTAAGTCATACTCTGGGGAGCATATTAATGAGCTGCAGCTCCAGGTTAAGGGACTTACTACAGATTTAATGAGCTGTCAGAAGCTTTTTTATAGCCACAGATATCTCAGCCAGGTGCCCGTCACTAGCACAATCCTCGTGCAGGAAGCGCTGTTGTAATTCCCGTCTACAGTCTGCCCTCTGGCCATGTGAGAGCAAAGGTTGCTCTGATTTATTCAGGTTCTCAGTGGCTGTAATATGCCAGTGGCTGTTATGGTACAAGAGACTTCAACTACTAATCTTTTTCAATACTCTCCTCCAATGCAGTCTGTTTAAGCCTCAGGGCATCTCACCCAGTGGGTGATATAGCTTTAGAAGCACTAAAACTATTTTATGGCCTATATTGTCTTGGGAGTCTTCTGCAAAATGACTATCACAAGGCTTAAAAGATGGTGATTTATTACATTAAAACTGTATTTGGCATGTACTGTCACAAAAATAATTGTGTCATTAGCTCACCTGTCTGAGAAAAATTAACTATATATATATGAAGAAGTTTTGTTTCAAAAGCTGATTTTCTTAGTCTCCCATCAAGAACAGCTGAATTCCTGTAATACTAGTATCTACCCTTTCATATGTACTATAAGAGAGATCCTAGAACTTATGTAAAATAGCCCAGTTCTTTCACCTCATAGTTAGCAAACTGGTTGGTATTACGTAGACATTTGTCTTTTGACATGTTTTTTTGAGAGATCTTCCTTTGATCGCACCTTACTTCCCACCTACACTATTTGTTATAAATACGGACTCACCTTTACTTTTTCTTTAGACAAGAAATAAGCAGTGGCATGTAGTACATCTGCTGAATGAGTAGAATTATGGTAGGAGTTGGAGGAATGGTAGTTAGCTTCAATAACTTGTAACCACGACCTCAGAGTTGATTCTGAACAGTTTAGGAATTCACAGATTCCAAAGCGAGCAAATATTTTGAGACCCAGATAAACCAAAGGTCTGTGGAGAAAAGAACCCAGAGAGTTTTAAAATAAATGAGCTAAGAGAATATTTCATAGCATAAATAGTATGAATTCTTAATCAACGACATGTCAGATTGGGTATAAGGACTTGTTACAGAATTACAGTCTAAACCTGTAGAAATGTTCTGCCTACCCATCATATGCACACTCAGAACCATGCCAGTTCCTGACACTTCCAGGAATATAAAAAGGTTCCATATTGCTGCTGTACTACATGAAGCACTATTCTGGGGCTTGGGGAGTCTATGCTGGGTACATGTAGACTGAAGTCAAAATGAGATAAATTAGCAAGTACTAAACTCTGTGCATGGGAGGAGAGAGGTGATTACCTTGCTGCTGCCACTGATTCCTAAACTGCCTTGTTTAACAATTAGATTAAGTCTATCTATACAATATAATGCCACAATCATTATTCTTTCTGCTGCAGATCTATTCCATTTCTTTTACGCCCACCTTTGCTGGCTTCTACTGCTCACTGGCTTTGCATGCAGTAGAGGTTGAAAGATGGCAGTGTTCTGGAAGCAAATGCCAGGCCAGAGTATGCCATTTTTAGAAGCGTGTATGGGCCAGACGAAACTTCAGGCTAGGCAAGTCTGACATCTATCTCCAAAACCAGCCAATACCACTGTATTCCAGTACTCTTGCTTCTCCCAGGCCAAACTGCACAATTTAAACCCAGATGACTGGCAGGTGAACGAAGATCAGAACATCAGTACAGAATATTTCTAATCTGAAAGCTGTGAAAGTGCAATATGTTTAATAGAGCAAATAAATAAATAAATAAAATCCAGTTTCAGTCCATTAGACTTCATTTTAAACCCAGTTAATGTCACTGTTTTCTTGTCCACTGCATTTTTTTGCTTAAGAAGAACAGGTACAGTGGTAATTATTTTCAAATGTGTATTTTCAAAAATAGATTTTAAATCCTTATTTTGGCATGTCACGTTCCTGCCTGATTCCAGATGCATCAAGCACTCTGATTTTTTGCTGCACCTGACAGGCTAGGTGAGGTCATTTACAGCTGCTGAGGTCATTTAGAGTTGGGTGTACAACTTCTGGCAAAAGCACTCAACAATACTGTGTCAGATACTAGAATCACAATATACTAAAGTTAAATCCTTCTTAATCCCCTCCCTTTGTCTCATGGCACTGTGAGACAAAGGTCTGCCCAGGTTTCTGTGTCAGTGAACTGTAATGCACTAAAGCTTAGATTTAATGAATTATCTTGACTTTACTACCTATGTCTGCTTGGACTTGAAGACAATACTAACAACATATTCATACTTGTGATTCATTGGAGATCACTTTAATCCTCTTAATAAATGAATTGCCTTTATTTAAACAGAGCAAGAAGCAATCATCATTATAATAACTTTAATAGGAGGACAGGCAACAAAGTAGCTCTTTTGTCCCTCTGTGGTCTCTCCAGATCAGTAACAGAGAAGCCTATCTGGTGATCTCATGCATATTGGCTGGGAAAACTAATTCTTAACTTACTGCAATGTGCATATTAGATGTTTAAAATCACACAATCTGATTACATTTTGACTTTTTTTTTTTAATTACGGTATCTGTAGCACTTCATTAGAAATAGAATAGAAATAGCAAAGGAAAAATACAAAGAAAACAAAACCCAAAACCTAAGTAACTGGATGCAAATTTCTTCACCTACACTAAAATCACTTTCAAGAAGAATAAATAAAAAAAAACATGGCCTGAAATGAAGTGTATGTATGTTAACTAACTGCCTGATATCTTTGTTAGACATTGGGTTTTAATACCTTTCAAAGCTCTTACGGATCTGCGATTTTGAAGAGGGTTTAAGATAGTCAATTCATTGCAGGATCTAGCCTCCAAATTAGTGTCTCATAGATGCTGTAAGCTAAGACAAAGCATGGTATATGAAACTAGACCCAAAGGAGATCTTTTGATCGGCATCAGAAAATAAAACCAAGGATTTAAACAGAAAGATGAATTTACAGACTTAGTGGGAACATGAAGTACAGTCTATCAAAACTGCTGATTTGCTTTTAAAAACTTCTGTGATGGAAATTAGTGTGCCCTACTTTTTATAAGTAAATATTCTTCAGTTAATCTTACATATAACATGTAGCCTGCCAAGATTTTAGAATAAAGACCTTCCTCTAATCCCAGAGAAAGGCAATGGGAATTCTGCTGTATTTGAACTGCTTAGGAATAAAAATTACCCGATTACATGGGAAGAAAATAAAACATGATTTGTATCAACTTATCAAACTAAGACCAGCATGTTGACTCTGTGTGCAGTTGGCCATAATTTGAATTTCAGTCTCCACAAGACCACAATTTAATTTGTAGAACTTTTCTGTTCCTGAGAACAGAAAAGTAAGACTTTTACAATTATGTTGCTTTGTTATTGTACCATATCAGAGACACATGATCTTCACTTACATCCACCGGGATTCTGCAGGAAATAGTGTATGATGAAACCGAAAATATTTAGTAAGGTCATACACAACAAGAAATGACAATGAGAAAATTTCAAACATTTGACTTTGAAATTAAAAGTAATTCCACTTTAAAATCACAAGTAGAGAAATTAAAGAGCTGATTACAGGATGACATTTAAGTCAGCTTTCAGCAACTTCAATTTATGAGCTCTTGAGTTTACTGACCTTTTATGAGTGGCAGCCTCAAGTTCAAAGATATCAAAATCCCACTGTTCTTCATTTTCCATTGCCTCTGTTATCCGTGGGGGTATGTCATTGAGGGAGATTGGAGAGCTCAAACTGCCAGCAACCTGATGAGTTTCTGTTGAGGAGTATATTTGCAAATCACCATTAATAACCTTTTTACCCAGTGTAAATGTTTTCTTTTCTGTAATACTGTCTGGCAACTCTTTTTTTCTATAAAGCTCAGTAATGCTACAGAACAATGCTTTTAAATAAGAACAAAACCAAACAATGCTTATAAAAAAGAACATCTGATCACATTTCTCCTATTTCTTAGATTTCTTAACATGTTTTAATATTTTAGTAACAACCCAGTTAAAACTTACGTTTTGCTGACAATATGTATTCGTTCCCTGATAATCTTCGTAAACCATCCTGTTAAATAAAAGCTGAGAGTTAAATGAAGGCTATTGTGCAAAAGGTCTACAAGATGATGATACCAAATAAGTAGCACAATGACTTTAAGGAAATCTGACTGTAACCTGTCACAGTCATGAAAGCTGCCTCTCCCTTATTTGTGTGTAGTGTTAAGATTTGCCTGTTCTACATATAGCTCATAATGGATGAGAAACTGCAAGATACAACATGAAACTGCAGGATAGAATATGAACTCAGACAGTTAAAAATCTCAGGTGCAGATGGGAGTCTGGAATTACAGCCTCACATCCACCTCTGTCTGGACAACACACACAGGTTCTGGATGTGTACCACAAACCATGGTATGTTCACATACTTTCCGTCCACAAGCAAAGGTGGATAGTGGGAGTGAATGGGTGGAGACATGCTTCTGCTCTTCTCCCCCTGGTATTGTCAGATCAGGTCACCTCAGCAGCCTAAGAATCTCATTATTTGCTTCTGGGATTGCAGAGCAACAAACAACTCTGAGGCTTCCCTTCTATCAAAGAAGAACGTACGCTTGCTTGTTCTCCAACTCAGTGTCTTTGTTAGCACAAAGACTATATGGCCTTTGTTCAACTTTGGGTACAATGCTTCTTCTTCCAATGCCCCCCCATTCCTCTTTTCGTAACATAACAACATAATACATGCCTTCTTCAGTCTTTTGCTTGCCTTATTTATTTAAATAATGAGTTCTGTGGAGCATGACTGTGTTTTAATATGTGAACATTCATGTTGCTAGCTCAGAGCACTTTGATCTTTCTTTGAGTCTGCATGGGTACAAATATAATCCAAGAAATAGCCACAAAAAATATGTATTTTGTATTCTTTTGAAAACACGTTCTTCCTGTACACTGAAAACCTCCCAAAACCTGCCATTCTAACCCTAATAAATGAAGTGTTTAGCTATCTTTCTTTCTTCCTTTCCCATCTATACCTTTCTAAAATGAATCACATTGGAGAAAGAATTGGCTTTCCCTTCCATTGCTAGCAAAACTAAAGCTTCAAAAGAACTTGTCAATTTTTTTCCTGTTTTCAGAGCTACAATTTTTTTCTTTTTTTTTCTTTTTTTTTTTTTTTTTGTGGGGAGAAATCTGAAAAAAGAGGTGTGCAGTTTTTCCTGAAAATTTGCATTGTAGAGGTAAAGCACATGTCAGATAGTAAAGATTGAGTAACTGGGAAAATCAGGCAGTGAAACATTGACTGATAGCTATTTGTGGCAGTATGTACTTACTGTCATTAAGCCTCCAACAAGGTCACTTGTATGTGGATCTTCATCTTTTGTCCCCAGTTGTGGAGAGTACAATTCAGTGGTTCTTAAAATCTCCAAAGCCCGGTCTAAAGCTTCTGCAACTGGCATGGGACTGCTTTCTTGTGCAGCATTGATGATGTTTATTACCTAGTTTAGCATTAGATATGTTTTGAATTTAGAAGTGATTTAATAAAAAACATAGACATTCATCAATTACTGTGGAAAACTCATAGCAAATAAACAAGATCTACAATCCACATGTGGGAGAATCAAAATGAAAGGGATGTTAATAAAGCACTGATGTTTGCTACTGACTCTGGGAACAAGACTGTGACCTTAAAAACAGTCTTATTAATAACTTTCCCATTCAAGGCACAGCCTCAAGGTGTTTCTGAATAGATTTAATAAAACCTTCTCCCACTGGCCTCTCTCAATTTATTAGTGAGCTGATTTTTACAAATCCTTGAATGGTTTCAGAAGGCAGTTTACAATGCCTAAGTAAGAAGGAGGAACTCTTGCCCCTCCTTCACATAAGCAAAAGTCCTTAAAAAGGGGTCATGCAATGGCTGACCACATGGAGGGCACTCTGCTAACCAGCCTGGGAAAACTTTGTTCAGAGCATTTGGCTTTTTGGCACTCCATCGGTGGGCAGGTGGAACAGAAGAAGAAGTTGCGCCAGAGGCCAGTGCTGCCTTGTTCCTCAGTCTGGATGGGAACCTTGTGCCCAATACTCCAGTACAGCATAACTGACAACAGCTAGTGCCAGTGCACATTACCTTGGTGATGGGTGCTTCAATAGTCATGGAATGTACCCTGGCCATAGAAGAGCGCCGCCTTTGTGAGCTGCCTGTGTGAAAAACAAAGCAGAATTTGTATCCTGATTTCAGCGACATGGCATGACAGGAGGATTCAGCCAAGAAATCTGTGTTCATTTTCTGAACTGCTTACCCTGCTGTGCCCTTCAGAGGCAATCTACTGGAGAATGCATATACTTGTTTGTTATGCTGGGGACACACAAGATGCATGCTGAACCACTGATATCCCTGATCAGATGTAAGTAATTGTAACAGCTTGGCAAAAGTACAGCTTTTTTGATTTTGGTTTTTTTTTTTAACTAAATAAAACATTCATTTAAAAACTCAGTAAAATACTACAGGTGGGTGTATGAACTGGCAGGCAAAGGGAGGTAAATTTTGCTCCTTGATGGAACACGACAAGTTATAATGAGTCAGCTTCCAAGCTGAGGTAAATAAATGAAGCTCTTTTGAAGTGAAGATAGCTATGCCAAATTAAAATGGCAGAGGTCATGGCCTATTATTCACTGGAAATTGGAAAACAAATGTTTCCTATCAGTTAGCAATTTTGGTTCTGTAAAGAAAACACCAAGATGGGATTTTTCTGGATAATTACATTGTGCTACCTATAAAATGCAGACATGTCTCTGTTACTCTTTGTATTAAGCAGCTCTCAAGAAGAAGAATCAATGCTATCTTTGCTATACTGGAACATGATTTTATTCTCACTGCCACAGACCTACTTCCATGCTTCAATAGTGTATGCTGCCTACACTGTAATGATGTATGCTTTAACAAAATCATGTAAGTATCAGCACAGTTTTGAATATGTGACGCATCTATCAAGTTTGGGACAATCTAATGGAGCAAAATACAACATAGGGAAAAAAAAAACAAAATTAGTAAAAAAAAATCTTCATATTTTTATCAAGATTAAAGATAAGAAATGTAATTTTTAGGCTTAGATTTTGACATTTGTACTTGAAAGTAGCTGTGTTGAATCTCATGAGGTCTTCCATGCAGGACAGTAGACAACAGCCTTCCATTCTCCACTGATTCAAAAAAAAGACTCAACATGGCTCAAGAGAAGAAAATGGGGCTATTTGACCAATGTGAAGTTGTTCATGAATTGATGACTTGCTATTTTATTCCTGTTTGTGTATGCATATATGTACACATACATACCTATATTTGTGTGTGTATGTGTGTATGCAGATAAAAATCTGAATATATATTTGGAAATTGGTAAAATCTACTTGTTTAACATACCATCACTCCCTCGTGATGTTGTGGATCTGACATCTAGTGATCCTTTCCTCGTGTCCTTTTGTCTGCAAGTCTGAATATCTGTGGAGAAATGATAGTGTACAATGAGTGACATTAAGTTGTGCCTAAGATGTATATTAAAGGAACTGAAACTCAGAGAAAGCCTGATAGCAGCTGAGTGACAGTTACCACAATGCAGATGAGAGCCAGTGAAAGCTCCTTTTTAAACTCTTGTCCAATTACACTGTCATGAACCCAGTCATGCTCTGGTAGAACATGCCTAAGTGTTTTTGCAGAAGGGTCTAACAATGTGGAAGTGAAAGTTCCTCTTCTGACACCATGACACAACTGTAGTTGTGAATACAACTTGTGCAACACACCTGAGTTCACTAAAGTAACAACTGCCATAAAGAACTGGTGGACCAAAGCAGATCACATGCTAGCAAAATAAGCAATGTATCCTAGGTCCCTTATGGACTCCAACAGATACAACCTGTGCTACCGAGGCTACAATTAACAGGTATCTGCAGCACGGATGCCAAGGATTCCTTAATTAAAGTGTTGGTATGTGGGATAAAGGTGAATGGCAGTGTTGGTCATCCTCATTTCCACCCATATGCAAATACCCCACAGCACAGATAAAAGCAATGCAGACATACATGCTACTAACTATAGACCAGCCACAGCAACACAATGACTTGAAGGCATCTTTCTTATTTCTAATGTTGTCACAGGGATCCACTACCTACAAGTGAAATGTGACACTTCTCATGTGGACACAAATGTGGATCCAGCAATACCACAATACCAACTTGGTATTACTGTGTTTTCAAGGGTGGGCTCCTTTATATCACTTCTAAACCAAATGAGGTAGGTAGAGAGGGCTTGTATTTATTTTCCTGCCTTTTGAGCTGGATTCCCAGCTAAACAGCACTGTTCTGACTGTCCTGTGCAAATGTGGTTTTTCATCAGATCACTAACAATGGGCTTTATTCTTTCCTCAGGTACATTCTCCAGTTATTAGGACAGGAGAGATGTGTCATACCTGTCTGAGATTCAGCCTGAATACATTCACATGTCTTCTCCGCCTACAATTCAGTATGAGAAATCCAGTTAGTCAGAACTTTCCCATTATTTTGTAATATTTAGGGCTCAAGCTAAAGCAAGCATAGTACTGTTTTCACTTACCTTATTGTTGTCATTGCACAGTCTACTAATTGACACATAGTGTCTAATCTTTCTGTAGGCAAAAAACAGTGTGTTAATTCCCATCCAAACCTCAGCTCTAATTCACTCTGATACACCAAATGGATAAAAGGAACAAATTAACGTAGGACAAATCCTGTCCTGGCAAGAACGCTCAACTGGGAACAGAAAACCCCTGCAGTTCTGCATGTGACAGGGAATACAAAATGGAAACGTCTTTTGCAAAGATTATCACCCTCCTCTTTCTCCCCCCACCGTCCCAGCCCCTTCTGGGCTACAGTAGGATATTTGAAGTATGATATAAATGCAAAACATGCAGTACTGCAGTCCAGTAACCAAAACCTTATACAGGATTTAGGGATAGAGCCATCAAACTGAAAACCACACCCTAGATTACCGAGACACTTTCTAAACCAGATTTAAATGGGTTTAGATTGTTCCATAAGAAGCAATGTATGCAATATATATTGGTCTTAGAAGTTTGGCATCTTAAACTGAAAATACGTTTTCACTCTATTGATGGGTACCAGAGAACATGAATTACTTTCAGGGATGAAATCAACTCAAACCACCTTTCTTTTTAGGAAGTAACTGGATGAAGAAGCTGCATTTGGCCTTTCCTTCATGAAGTCACACCTTTCTAAATGATTGTCTCCAGAAGATAATGTGCTGTGACTTTAATTAGCGTTGAAGTTGCCTTAGAGGGCTTTGCAACTACTGCTGAATGCAGTCTGATCCACTTTGTTTTCCAATATAGTGCAGAAGGACTCATCATAAATGTACAAATAACTGGTGTATACCTGTGTGCTCCAAGTTGGACAAAAATACAAAAATTCAAGACATGCTTGAATTCTCACCAGGAGTGACCTCTCCACATGAAGACACTTGGCAACAGCCATAAGTAGATGAGCATGGAGGGTGCACAGTGCAACAGGACGTAGGTCCTGGTGGTCCCAACAGAGGGCACTGCACTTGCACTTCATGGAGTATTAGATGAGTCAGAGTCACAAGTGAGCACATCTGGATCTTTGGCTCCTTTTTTGGGAGAATTAGAATTTTGCTTTCCCTGCACACAGCATGTAAAGTTGATTTTGCCTCAAGAAATTAAATGCAGAGGTCTGAGGCACCCTTCTTTGCATAAGTTTCCTTTATACTCAGTGACAGTAACCCCATTGTCTGCTGAAAGCAACTGAACTCTAAACTGAGCCTAGATCATGGCTTTAGCTTTCATACTCACCCTCCCTGTCCAATGACAGGTAGTATCTTCACATTTTGTTGTATGCTATCTCCGTTTTTCTTTTTCGCATAGTACATTCCTTGCCATTCCTGAAAAAGGAATTCAAATGAATGGAAGTTCAGATAAAACAGGAACAGAAGCTGTAGCTTCGTGCCTTTTTTTCATTGAAAGCTGTCTTACAATAGAAAACCAGTCAGGACTGGTTTTAACTGTCCTCACCCTTTAATTTCTCCCCGTAACTAACCCGTAGGTCACTATGCTGCTGCCAGTGGACAGAGAACTTCCGGAGAGGCAGCCTGTGAGTGCCCTGATGACAACAACCGAACCTCAGGTGCTGTGGGAATCAGAACCATGTATTCTCTTCCCAGTCCTACCTCAGTGGGAAGGGGTGGGGGTGTCACTGGGTGAGACCTGGCAACCCCTGCAAGAGCAAGAGCTCAGACCAGCCCCTGCCTGAGGCAAGATTTCCTCAGAGCCTCGAGGAATGCTCTAACAGTGTGGGGCACCCCACTGCACTGCGCCAGGACCACGCACCATGTGCCTGGGACTGCTATGCTAACCTGCCTTTCTCCTCGACTGCGATGACTTCTCCCAGCACAGGAAGGTCAGTGAGAAACCATAATGCCGACCTGTCTGCCTTCACTTCTGGATGGCACCATCCCTCCTGAACAGCTGGGAAGTCTTATCCCTGGTTAACATTAAACGTATCTGTGACTAAAAGCGGTTTGCTACCCTAGCACATTTATTTTCCACACTGTCATTTCAGTCTCAAAAAGTGGCAGAGATTTATTGTGGATTTTTTAAAGTAAAAGTCTAGTAGAATAACTACTGGATTCTGCCTCTCATATCCCATCGCTCCTCTAAAAGCACTCTGGTTTCAGGATCACATTTAAGTAGACAATTTTTGAAGTATCAGATTGTCACTGCCTGTATCATTGTTCTTTGATAATACTCATAAATGAGGAAAAAACAGTGTGGAAAGGAATTTTTCATTTTGCAGTGAGAATTCCTTTTTCCTCTAGAAATGAGATATTCCTTTCTAGTGTAGAGCCTCATTTTCACTCAGTGAGAGTCGGGGAATGTCCCTTCTCCTCTGTTTAAGACGTGCTTTAAAATGAAATACTGTAACAACAATCACTTTTGTTATTTAGAGATTTTAAATCCAGAAGGCACCACTGTGGTCCAATACCAAGCCCAAACCACCTCCCTGCAGCAGAGCCCAAAGGCGTGCTGTACAGTAGGAAAGCTCCCATGTCGATGAATGCAGACATGGCTAAAGGTGGCTTCAGCAGACACCAGGGCATGGGCCCCTTACCTGCTGCCCGCTCCCAATTCCCCCTCTGCACTGCTGCTGCTTCTCACACTGTGCTACAAATACCAGAGCAAAGACATACTACAGCACTGATGGACCTCCCCGGGTCTCCCCTTCATGTGGTGCCTGGACTGGAGTTGCCTCCTCACAGTGTTACTTAGGAAAACTCAGGGAAAGCGAAACTTGGGAACTACGGTTCTCCCCCTTTCATTTCTGGGAGCAGTGCATGGGCCAAGTAAACTTCAAACAGAGCTGATTTTTGTAACCTGGCAGCTGACGAGATTCACAAACCTGCTTACACATTTCCATCCCTAGAATAGCGATGTTCTTTTTCAACAGATGCATATTTTGAGCTGGGCATCTAATAAATACCAAGTGATTAATAAATAATTGGTTCCATATCACATATTCAGTTGAATTCAGCAGACTGTAGATCAGATCTTAAATGTATGTGAAAATACCCTCATGAGGCACATAATACATATTTATGTTAAACTGACAGATCTCGGGCCAGAGCACAGGTACAGAGAGAACAGTTTTGCATTTATGTTGATGGAGCCAGCAAATAAAGACTGCAGCCCAGAGAGAGCAGCAAAGTGACAGGCTGTACAGAAAATATATGAAAGGCTTTTCTGAAGATCTGTTGGAGGAAAGAACTGTGCATAACAAACTGTGAAGCGAGCACAGTATCTTCTGTGAGTTGCATGAGGAATACAAATGAAGATAATGAAAGCAGCAAAAAATTCAATGCTCTCATAATTGAAAGTATGCATATCAATAGTTTCCTAACAACCAGGTTGAGGCAGAGATTAGTAATCAATCTCTAATCCAGGTAATGAACCTGGGTTACACAAAGGGATGAAGTCATAAGGTGCAGACTGGATAATTCTCACATTGAAAGCGCATCCTTTTCAAGACAGGTTATTCACTAATGTGTTCTTCCTAGTCAACAGATCGATTTTTCAACTTGTGAATTTCTAAAACATGTGAAACTGTGGAAAGAAATGTGTGAGGGAAAAGGTCAGCAGAATTCTGAGAAATGGGAGGTCCAAACCAAACTCCTGCTGGTAGGTAAAGCTCTCCCAGGGACGTTACTTAAACATATTTTAAGAACACCATATGCTCCTCGCAGAGCCTCTGTCAGTGACATAACAGAGAAGAGCTACTTCACAAGATGTGCTGTCAGTCAAGCTCATCGTTATGCCTACATTATAGCCAGACAGTACAGTGATCAGTCATTTCTGCATAGCCTGGCGTGCTGGGATTGAATGCAGAGCAAAAACCATATACAGTAAAGAAAAAATGTTTAATCCTTTATAGAGTGAATCAACACTGAGGTTTCAAACTTCATTAAGAAGGCCATAGCATACTTTTATCCACTGAGGACTCCTACATGCATAGTGAGTAATCCCCCAGGTCAGTCCTCCTTTTAGACTGGGGCTTCTTGCACTAGACAGCAAAGTTCAGCAAGCTACTTGTAGAAAACAGAGCAAACCAAAATGAACACAAGACGCCATGAAAACAATCTCACAGAAAGTAAATCTGGGTTAGGGAGGAATTGCCATAGACCCTTTATCATACAGCATGATTTCTCTCCCACACCCTCTGTAAAGGTAGCTCTCTTGCAAATAATTCCCAAGGAGCAAGAGGAATGGTCTGATTTGTTGGTAGCTGTCCATCTCACTTCAGAAAAAGCAAAAGTAAGATAAAGAGCTTTGTGTCAAACTGCAGAGAACAGAGGCAGCAAGTATTCTAGTCAGAAATGCACATTTCATCTTAATTAATGGATGCCATTGAATCATGAAACAGAAGAATGAAGTACAACTTGTTTTTTAACTGCCTGTCTATGTATAGATGAAAATGCCTTTCAATAATGCTGGCTTCTTGCAAGTTACAGCCAGCTGTAGTAACAAAAAAAATGAACTTCCAGAGTTGGGGTTTTTTTACTAAGAGGAACAACATCCTGATCTAATAATCCCTATGTACCATGCAAGTAACAATTTTTGTGTATGATGCCGATGAACTTCTGTTTGGATATACTGAATTTGCTCATAGTCCTGTTTGTCAGCAGAGGAGAAATGCTGCAAGAGTTTATCTATCTTCCTAAATTCCATTTAAAGACTATAGGTAGATTTTATACAGCTTACATTTTTCTGAAGATCAAAAATTCTTGCTTTCTATTATTTTTGTTATATTACCATGTTTGGTTAAAACAGAAAAGCCAAACCTGTTGACAGGACATATCACAGGAGTAGACAGTTGGCTTTTTGGTATGCTACAACATAGCTAGAACACAGCCTATCTAACGAGAAGCAGTCTTTTAAAATCAGGATATAAAGAAATCACAAGCCTGAAAACAACGTACAGACCATGTCAGAATGATTCAAGGACAAGTTAGGCACCTCTGAAAATGCTGTAACATCTTGACACAAATTATTTCAAACTAAAGCACCTTCAAAAAGCTGCAACATTTCAAAGGTTGCTCCCACAGTTAACCTCCACTCATAAATACTTCCTGTAATCACTTAATTTGCAATTCATTTTTCTATTAACATGTAAATGTGAGGCTACATAGACTGCCATAAAATGTTCCAAAGGGAAATACAAAAACCATGTAAACAGAATATATTCACCTAAACCAGGTTAAGCTGTTCCTGACAGACTGGTTTAAATAAGAAGTATTTCATTAGCCTCACAGCTGGAAGTTCTAGAGCCAGGAGTAAAATAAGTGCAATGAAAAAGATGGATTAGGGTTAGATTTCTATCATTCATAGAATAAAGCATATTTCTACTATTAAAGTCACTAAAATATTAAAGCACACTAAAATATTAAAAATTTGATCACTTCATATCTTGAGAATTGTTGTTGCAAATTTAAAGCCTGACACATCTAATGTGTTCAAATTATAACTTCATAAATACTCCCTCCTAACATCACTTTTGTATCACACACATTTACTGAAACAATTTCAGTCAGGCAACAGAGGTGTGAAGCACCATAATCATAATCAAAGCTATTGTCTATTACTCAGATCTCTTCCAAAAGGCCAACACATGTAGAAAAGAGCAACACATTCTTGTTGAAATGCACACACAATCTGCACCCGTCGAGTGCAGCTTTTGCTGCTGAATGCTCATGGCAGTAGCCTGAAGTTTGCATTGGTGCTTTTGCATCACTGCCTAGATACACAGAGTGCCATGATTCACTTTACCATCTCCCTGCTCTGTGCCAACAACATGGTACTTCCCTGCAGACAACAGTCAGTATGACCCAACTAGCTATCCTGGCTCAGGACTGAGCATGGACCATGATGCATCTACAAACACACTGGTTCCCAAATCTGTTTGTGTACCGTCCCTGATCTTCGTCCCATAAGGTACTACGGTATGCTCAATGACATCAGAAGCATTTACACCTCATTGTCAAAATGCAAATGAAAGCTCCTGGATGGATCCTCACACTGCAGTTGCAATAGTCCCAAAGGAACATCATGGCGTGATCAGGCAAACAGTAATGTCTCTCTGTAATGATCTCCCTTAAAGCCAGCTGCACTTCCTCATGCACTTCCTTGGTGCAACAAACATTTTTAATGGAAATCCATGGGACAGCTCCCATGTCATTAGAGAATAAAAGACACTGGCAGCTGCCAGCTGACACTACCTATCACACTCAAGTGATATTGCAAATGACTGTCATGATATTTTTATATTCCAAATTTGCAAATCAGCTTCCACATTTCATGCTGAAATACTTCAATATAGTTCTTTTTTCATTTACATCACACTGGATAACATGCATCCATCTTGTTTCTCTTTGGCATTCCCACACCTTTTGCTACATACAGCATGTATTAGAAAGAAACACAGCAAATCACTTGTTTTCATATAACATGTACCTCTTCCAAGCAAGAGAAGATAAAGAAGCCCTTAAAAAATGAGCAATTTTATTTCCTCTTCTTCTTTGGGTAAAAAAGCTGCAAATGCTACATAGACTCACAGAATAGTTAGGGTTGGAAAGGACCTTAAGATCATCCAGTTCCAGCCCCCCTGCCATGGGCAGGGACACCTCACACAAAACCATATCACCCAAGGCTCTGTCCAGCCTGGCCTTGAACACCACCAGGGACGGAGCATTCACAACTTCCCTCACCACCCCCACAGCAAAGAACGTCTTCCTTATACCCAATCTAAATTTCCCCTCTTTAAGTTTTAACCCATTACCCCTTGTCCTATCACTACAGTCCCTAATGAAGAGTCCCTCCCCACCATCCCTATAGGCCCCCTTCAGATACTGGAAGCCTGCTATGAGATCTCCATGCAGCCTTCTCTTCTCCAGGCTGAACAGCCCCAACTTTCTCAGCCTATGTTCACACGTCTATGAAGCTTTAAGTTACATCATGTGTCATCCCTGGACAATAACAACTTTTGCAGGCAAAAGGTAGCAAATGATAAATGATACAATGGTGTTACTCACCTTTCCTATCTTTATGCAGGAATTAATAGTTTCTAGGAAATCAGCTTTTTTTTCATTTATAGGCACTTCTGTTAATTGCTTTTCTATTAGTTCGCCTATTTGATAGCCCATCATTGTTTCAAAAGCAGGATTGACGTACTGTGAAATAAAAACAAAACCCCATTTATCAAAATACTCAAAGCACAACAGAGCTCCCTCTTTTCTATTTGCTAAACCAAAGGATCTCTTTCCCAGGCTGAAATAAATGTATGTATTGGTCCTGAGAGAGATGCCTACATTGTTTTCTTTATGAAGCAAACCAGGAAGGTCCATTCTGTAAGAGCTGCACCACTGTCAACGTTCGGGTCAAGAAGGTACAATTTCTATGTATAACTCCCAGGAGCTTAGACTCAAGCTCTTTACTGATAACAAAATCACTCCTCAGCCTTCATAGCTAGGGATGGAACTAACTTCCTTATGAAGATGATGTTTTTCAGGACTGCAAACAGAAGCACAATTTCTTATGCCTTTTTTAAAGTCATTTCTAAGAGAGGATTACATTAAAAAACAGTTGGCCCAAGAATTCTGAACCATTAAATAGTATCAGATGTAAGGAAAGGTGTATTACTTTTATTTGAATAGAACACTGTTAGATTTGCTTTTCAAGAGCATCAAATTAACATACAATATTTTTGGAACAGAATGCATACAAGCCAGTGGATGCATCCAAAAAATAAAAATGAGACAGTCAATCCTTGTTAATTCAGAAACAACAATCTCCCTTAAAATTGATTTGATTTATGCAAGATATTTTAAATGGAGAAAATTCTACTCTACAGCTAAACTCAATCCAATTGTTTTACACCCGTTAAGTTAGGTTAGATTCTTGTACTGTAAGAAAGAGTAAATGTAATTACGGATGAAATAAAATAGAGTCCACAGAGTGATTTTCTGTACTTGTAAAAATATCAGGAACAAACCTGTACTACATGATCTTCACTTGTGATCTCAATGGCTTCTTGACTTTTCTCTAATGCTGCAAATAATGAATTACATGCCCTGGAGAGAAAAAAAAATAAAAGAAAGATTAAATTTAATCCACATAATTCTTATTGTATATGACAATAAGGTATTGCAACTCCATACCTAATGAAGTTGTACTTCAACACTTTAATGATGAACGTGTTTTCTTCAGTTAACTGACATTCTACAAACAATTACAGTACAGTAAAATAAATACTTTTTTAAGGATGTGGCTGAATTGGCCTTTTCTTTTTGTGTTGGTCGTGTTCTGGTAAAAATTACCTTAGTTTGAATTGTGCCTGCACCTGTCCAAATTCCAGCTGAATCAACTCATTGTAACAGGCCATCCTGCTAGAATTTTCCACATATCGCTGCAAATAAAAGGTTGAAGTATTTCATGAATACACATTTCCATACTCAAGGGTAGAAAGCTCTGTTTTCTTTTGCTTGATAAAAAATTAAAAGGAGTAGATAAACCAAAAATTAACATGTTGTAACACAAGCAATGTCAGAAGATGATTATTTTGGGGGACTAGCAAAATTCTTCAGGTTACTGCATTTTGAAAAGGTGACAGATCCTCATGGCAATAAGGGTCAACTCAATCTGTTTATTCTCTTTGGTTATCAGCAGGATCAGCACATAAAACCCACATACTTTTAATTAAGTTACATGCTTTCATGCTACTTTTTAAAATAACAATGAAAAGACTATATTGAGTCTAAAGTCATCCAAACATGCGATTATGATGAGTTTCCAATTCCTAACACCCAAATTGTATATACAGAAGAAAGTAAAACTTCTTGGCAAATACACCTGCCATTGGATACAATTATTCATTTGGATAGCAGTGTCCTCAGTATCTCTGATGGTTTTTTAAACATCTCATATTTACCAGGTATGAGCCTGAATGTTAGATCTTGTTCATGCTAAATTGCCACAGTTCTTTTCAGGCAGTTATTAAGGACCTTATTACAAATAAGCAAATAGATGCAAATGGATTGTGATGGGGATAGCAAAAAATCTGGTGACTGTGCAACCAAATACTCTGATTCACACTGAAATCATGCACATTTTTGTTCCATTGTCAGCCTAATGAAATGAAGAAACCACTTAACTGACACACTAATAAGCACCTTTTCTGTTTAACTGGAATAGTTGCCAAGGAACAGATTCAATGTAATACTTTTCAGGTGCCTCCAAACAATAGATAATAGCACTTGACAGTGTCTGAAGCCTGTTTACAGATGGGAATTGGCATTTGATAAGGGAATGTCCACAGCACATTTAGTGCAAGCTGCTCTCTTGTTCTGCTACAGTCACTAGTCAGTTCTGCCCATGTCAACCTTTCAAGCAAAGCATCATATACTCACTCTGAAATAAATGTATGAGGAAAAGCCTCAGCACCACTTATGTCCACCTACTTAGCATTGTTCTAATTCTACTGGTGTATAATATTTCAGAATTGGGATGTATATAACAATGAGTAGCATGAACAAGATTTACAGGTTGGGTTACTGACACAAACTATCACTGACAGCCAGTTTCTCGCATGTTAATTCTGAAATGTCAGAGCACCTGGTGGGGTGTAACACATACATACCCTTGAGAAGCCAGCAGAGATCAGGGGCAATATCGATGACTCTTCTCGATCAGCATGCCTTTTAAAGAAGGATGATAAAGTTAGAGATTATTTCTGTAATCAGCTGAGACCTAATTTCACACGCCATTGACACACCTGTACCCAGATGCCACACTGAAGGCTAATATGGCTAGATCCTTGCAGGATCTATGAATAAAATGTATGTTTTTTGGGGTTAACTGTTAAAAGACACTCCAACATACATGAATGTATGTCTGGAATCTGGAAGAAAGGCCGTTATGTTAAGTTTCCATAAATGAGCAGATGGAAGACAGCCAGGTTTAGCAGATGGTACAATAGCTTTTATTTATAGGTGAAATTTTGTTCCTTATGGCACCTCTTCTTTTTGTTTTCTGTGTATTTGTTCCTTATGAGTGAAGAGAATGACTACTGTAGTACAAGGTTTACCCAAGATTAAGCAGAGAGGAGCAGCTGTCATAAAAATCTCCCCATTCCTCATGCCTGTTATCTGGCAATGCTGCCTCCCAGAAGCAGAAAGAAAGAGAACAGGCATCCTGTAGGGCAAGGGGGGGAGCAAACAAAAAAAGAACCAACGAAATGAACTGCAGGAGAAGCCCCTCCATATGCCATTAGCTAAGTGTCAGGCTTTTCCAGAAATATGGCTCTTGCAGCAAGAAAGGAAATGTGTGAAAGTTCTCTGTGTGGAATTCTAAATGGTAACTCAAGAACGCTTGTGCTCAGCACATGGGAACTTGACACAGTCAACTCAGTCCCAGTAAAAGGCAAACTGACTTCTGCAGCTTCCACTAGACTGGGATACTACACACATCTGAGATGTCTGAGAACTCCAGCTTCTAAGATAGTATCACCAAAGGGGGCTATTATCTTGTCCCAATGCACAATGAGAACCTTTTGTAAAGACAAAAATGAATTGCAGGGAAAAAATCCCTTTTAAGCAACTTCCTAATTGAGTCAGCAAGCCCAGCTTCCAAGCTCTCCTCGCTTTTGAAAGGAAATGCTGGCCACAGAATCACAGGTTTCTGTCTTTCTGAAGTACATGAAGCAGCTCATGAGTTATTGTTTGTTTTTTGCTTCTTTTTCCCTCTTTTGTGTTAGTCCAATGAGAGACAATTCTGACTGCAGAAGCAATGGTTTCCATAGTCAGACTTCCTGACATAAAAACTGAAGGTGATATTGACAATGGAATCTCTTGAAAAGTTTAATTAGGGTCTTTTGTTTGCTAGAGATCATGGTGTATTCCTAAAAATAGGATTTTTAATGGGAAATCTCAACACCTCAGGATGTTTTCTGAGAAATGGACATTCCCCAATTTAGGGAAATTATCTTTCACTGATATCAGAATAAATATATTGCACTGGTGTTATTTTTACATCATTTTATGATATATAAGTTATTATTTTCAGATGGAGGAGGAGGAAAAAGCATATGCACTGCTTTACTAAGATGTCATAATAGAATCTGTTTTACTTTGGAAACTTGTATGGTCAAATGCTGTTTTGTACTGACCAAATTGTTTTGTATCTTTTTTTGTAACTTAGCAGATCCCCTGTTTGTGGCAAGATTAATCAGACTGAAAGAGGGATCAAGAAAGGTTCAAAACACAGATCTATGAGTCAGTTCCACAGTTCTCTACATAATGTTGCACAGGTTGTTTGGAATTTTGCTGCTCAAACATGGAATCAAGGGAAAGTAAGGATACAAGTATTTACCTTTGTACTACACCAATAATGACTGTGTTTTCTGAGGGTTTTGTTGTTCTGATAGACCTTTAAATAAAAAGCAAATAATTTGACATTAAGTTCACATTTCAGAAAACATGACTTTATAGAACCTTCACACAGAACTTTTCTTAAAATTTCTCTTTTACATATTTTAGCTTCAAAACAAAAATCATATCCCAACCCTTCAGAACCACTAAGAAAATACGGCAGTACCAGAGACTCCATGAAAAAAGACACAGAGAATGCAGATTAATCTAAACTTCAAATACTCTCAGTAAGGGAATAGCAAAGATTCTCCCCTCTGAAAAGGCACATAATGGAGTCACTTGCAGGACTTGGCCTCACCCATACAAGGAGCATTTTACTTTATTATGGGACAGAATAGTAAAAATGTAACAAGGGGAACAGTGCTGATACCTAGTCTTCGCCTGACAATGCTCTTATCTTACTTTAGTTTAGCAAGAAGAGCCTTTGTCCCGGTGCCCTGAACCCACCACACTCACACAGGGTACATGATCTGACCCCACCACCTCCACCCCTCAGACTGTTATTCAGTCTAGACACATTCCCAAGGGGTATTTCACTGGAAAGTCACTGAAGCAAGGCACCGCTGTCTGTCAAATCACTGTAGAGAGACTCAGAAAGGCAGATCCTCTTCCCCTTTCCTCACATTTTACAGCAGTTTCTAAAAGTATTTTTGGAATCACTTTGAAACTTCACTCTTAGTAACATTTTCAGATGTTGTAGGTACGGAATCATGCACACAAAACATTGCCTATTTGCATCTGCAGTTACTCCACAGGAAACAGCATTTCAAAAAATGCAGAACATTAATGAAGAGAATGTATTTGTTAAATTGGTTGGTGGTACATGGTATCTCTGCAGCTAATTTAATGTGCAAGCAAGGAACCAGGTATTGGAGGGGGGAACAACAACAAAACCCAATTAATTATAAAAAATATGCATGTCTGATAGGTTTTATAAAGAGCTCATACAAAACAAAAAAATCCTTTGATGACGTGTAACTATTACACTGAAATGCTGCTTACCTGCATAATGCTTCTGCATCAAAGTATCTGGAATGTCTATGGTCAATAATGATAATGTCATGGTGTTTATCGAGAAAACATTCTAGTGCAGACTCGGGTGTCCTGGCAATATTACATCGAAATCCAGCTTTCTCACATGCCCAACGGAACCCATTACTCTGGTCATCGTCTTCAGCAAACACTAAAAGTACCTGGGTTAAAGGCAGACAGTGAATCATTACAAACAAGTCTTACATTTCCAGTAGATTCTGTGGCTTTTGCCTGTTCACACATTTTTTAAAGCTGCTTTCAAGACTCAATCCATTGTTTTTAACAGAATTGCTTTCTACAGACTATTGCTTTTTATAATTGTCTGCATGCAGATGTGTTTCAAATGGATAAAACAGTCTGCCAGAGGCATTTATTTAAACATGGGATGAACAAGTTTGGGAAGTGGCTCTCCCATCGTCAGCTACAAAAAGAACTCAGGCAATCAGTCAGGTCTAGATGCTTATGTTTCAGACAGGTTACATGAAATAACAGCGAGTTTTCTTTTTCTTGCCAGGATCATATTCCAGAAAATAAAATGCCATGGTTCACCTTGTATGAATTAATATTTAATGGTGCTTCAATGGCATGGTGAAAAATGTGCTTTCCTTTTCACCTCATTCGGTTTCCCAAAGTACTGGGTGCAGCCCACTCTGCAGGGTTTCTGGAAACTACAGACAGGCTGGTCAACTCATGCAAGACTGAAATCATCAGCAGAACCTCTGTACATGGAGTATGTCCCCATGTGACTCCTATGCAAAGCTCAGCATGGGATTTATATTACAGAAGGAGATTACCACTGTTGAAATCCAGAACTGGAGGTCAAATCTATGAGCCAGTATTTGCCCTGCTTTAACTTGCTGTGGAATCGCCACTATCATTAATCTCTCTGAGCCTTTTAAAAATCAATACAATGCCTATATATTCAAAGGCCCGATTCTTTCTAAAATTTCAATTCTAGGATTTAATAGGGCACAGAAGATAAACATGAAGTCTGCTAAGGAAGATTCTCTCTAATGTGACTGTGCTTTGCAGCAAGATAGTCTTTTGTAGAAGAAAACTTCTTTTGCCTGAAAAAAAATACACAGAATGACAGACTACAGATGCACGTTAGCCTTGATTTTGTGGATGACTTTATGTACGCAGCCCTTTGGGAAAGATGAATAACTAAACCAGCATTTGGTCTGCTGTCCCAAAACACCAATCTTCCAGTAATTTCATCAAACCACTGTTAGATATATGCTTTGGTCAGACAATAACATGGAACATGTGTAACTCATACCACTGCTGTTTACCTTCTGGGTGATTTTAGGAATTCTAGTGCTGGTTACACTTTGGACCAGGTTGGTGGAATGTCTACCAGTAAATCTTAACATTTCCATGTAGTGCATATTTCTGTAAGAATGAAGGACTTTGTACTCATTTAGTTCAGATTCCTATAAAAGCTATAAAAGCAGCCTGCAAAACTGTTTGCAAAACCGTGTCACAGTTTGGGCTATATTTAGTGAAGTTAACTTATAACACTCTTAAAGTGAAAGATGGTTTCCCAGCAATAGTACAGAAAGTCAGCAGATCTAATTAATGCCAGCCTACAATGAGCAAAAAGACCAACATACTTTGCTAAGCTCACTTCATATCTTTTATGATGATACTACAAATGTGGTTAATGTTAGTAATAATGCTGGTGTCATAGACCTTGACAGAACATTTGCCTTAGTACCATTTTGATGAAATTTTGACTAAGAATTGACTACCAGTAAAATACAAAACAAGGCAGACCCTATATTGATTACACGCTAACTGATAGCGGAAAGAAATGCAGACAGCTCTACTTTTATGAGCTGAGAGATGGTTGGAGAAAAGGGCTTGGCAGGATTTTTAGGATATCACGTAGAATGGCATCATAAAAATCTGTCAGGTGTACATTATCGCCAGACAAAAATGCTCTAAGATCTCTACACCAAAAAAAATCCAGTCATAAATTTTAAGCTAGAAATTAAGACTTCAGTTTGAACTGCTGCATTACCTGAAGTTGATCTCGACGAAGTCTCATAGGGCCAAACTGCACATCTGTTACTGGTGCCTAGAAGAAATAACATGGGATCATATTAATAGATATACACCTCAGTAAGAAGAAAGATTACCTCTGTTAGAGAAGGCTTTTCTAGTTTATCACTGTCCCACAGATATATTGCTATCATTATGAAGTGGCTTTTTCATAAGGGTCTGTCTGCTTTTGTAAATTTTATGCTAAGCTGCATTAAGAGAGTTAGAAATCAACAACTTACTCTTCAAAGCATTTTTATTGTTATTTTAAGCATAAAGTAGTGAATTAGTCATGAAAGTTTGGTAGACAGATTATTTTTCTGTATCCTCTTTATCACTGCAGCTGTTCTGCAAAACATGGAAGTGTTTAAAAACTGCTCTTTTTAAAGTCCAAAATAGCATTGTATCTCCAGAAGAAAGGCAAAACCTCTGCTCTTAGGATGCCACAGGTAACAGCTGTTACAAAACCACACTAACTTCATTTCTCCAAGAGTGTTTTGCTGCATTCCCTCCTGTCCAGTACCAACATGGAATGTTTCAGAACTGAGATATTTGTACTTGATGATGCATGTAATCAGCATGCAACACTGCTTTGAAAAACCCTGCACAAATGCTGACACACGTCATGCTTTCTGCATGCCAGCAATTCCCACATTAGGTTCTGTTCAAGTAACAGAGGCAAAGTTTAGCACGAACAGAGCTTCCTTCTCATGTGTCACTTCAAGGAATGGAGGTCAATGACCAGAAGGGCTGTTCATCATAACTGTTTCTCTTTGATATGATTAATCATTAATCAAGCTTGAACATGAACGACTCTTCAGCTGGTATGGGAAGGACTTTCTGAAGTAGTCAAACACATAAATACAGAGGGAGACTCTAACAGGATTACACAGGTTAGATTCTTTGGGAATTCCCACGAGTATTTGCACTTCCACATGCTTAAATGTTTTTCACTTCTTGTCTCAGAAATTAAAACTGAAAAGCAGGAATAATAACTCCCAATTCAAAATGGGAAACAGACTCCAACCAGTGGTCCTTGGAGCTACATAGACTCTTCAAAGGTAACTGCAGTAAAAAAGGAGAATAACATTATTTTTAGAAACAGCGTAAATTGAAGACATTTCTGAATTCATACGTACAAAGAAAAGATTTTATGAGTACAAAGGTGGCATTTTTACATTGTTGGTTTTCAAAGTAAAGCCACACTTGAAGATCAGATTTATTGCTCTAGAATTTTTCCAGTAAGTAATTTTAAAGAATCACCAGAATGTCCCACAGAAAAACCTTTTAGAATTACACACTCCACTCTCTATACCCTCACTGCTCCACTGCTCAGCCCTCAGAGTTTCTCATCTGTGATTTTATTTATGTATCAACTTGGAAGTCATCACTGCAACATCATATAAGAAAGAAACATGAGTCAAGGAAAAATGGCAACATAATGCCCTCAAAAACAAGCCATGAATCAGTGTTCGCCTGTGTTATTTAAGAGGGCCTCTAAAGGCTGTTATTAAAGCGACAGGGTCACCCTGGTCAGATCAGCTTAGTTTAAATACTCTCCAGTCAATTTTTTTTTCTGATTTTGAGACCAGAAATCTCTCTTCAATTGGAAAAATCAAGCTGCTATATTCTCCCTTGTGGCCCATCATCCACTTCAAAATCTGCACTAGAAAATAGCAAATACTGTTGCTGATAACGCACATAACAGGAGGGAATCCAGGTCTTTGCACCAGTGTTACTGGTTTTGCAGCACTGACAGTCCTAACTACTTGTCTTGAGTCAGTAAGACCAGCAGAAATGCCTGAAGGACACAGAGGGAGCATGTCTATTGAGTAAGAGCTGCCTTTTTACAGTCACTTCGCTGACCATAGCCACACTTCAAATTGAATTTTGAAACATTTATTTTGTACACTCCAGCTGCCAGCATAAAACAGCAAGTGTTTTCTGTTTCACCAAAGAGTGAGTTGTGAGGTTCAGATCCACAGCTGAACTTCACTGGTGTCTGGGGGTATGTAAAACCACTTCTATCAGGCCAGCATATCCTTAGACTACCAGTCCCAGCCCAAGGAAATTTCACAGATAAGATAAACCCAGTTTTAATAAGATAAAGCCAATTGCTGCTTTTCAGGTGATTCTTTCTTTTAAAAAGGTTGTGAATGAATAGTCATCAAAGTATTGGAAGAACTGAGCCTGAAAAACTGCCAGAAATCTGTGGCCATTTCTACAGTGAAAATACCTGTCTATGCACCATTTAAGCTTAAGTTACACGCACTGCCCAAATGAGATAAACTGTCTTGTTACACATTAACTTGCTGTCCTGAGGAGAAAAAAAAACAACTTCTGGTCTGCATCTCAGCTGGAAAATTTTGGTGAACTCCAGTTAATTCTTAATCCTGTTGAAATCTGTTCAAATAACTTGATTAATCATTTCAACTTTCTGTGTGCTGCTGGTAGCACTGAGAAGTAACATGCTGATTAAGTACTGTGTCAAAAATCATGGCTTCAGCAAGGATTAGCAGAAACTCTCAACTAGGGTGAACTAAACCAGCTTTTAAAACACCTCTAATGCTGCAAACTTGTAACAAAACAAAGCCAAGACAAGGCTCACAGGTTTGGTAACTGCACAGACACATCTTTATTCACTCACACCTTCTGGTGCTTCTTCCTTGAAGTTCCTTTTCTACTTGAAAAACAAAACCCCAAGTACATTTGTGGATTGACAGACAGGACTTGTGTATGTGACAGCCTTCCAGGCAGGCACAAACCTGTAAGAAAGTGTATGAGAGGACAGAGGCAGAAATAGTTGAAGGTTCCTGGAATGGATTGCGATAGAGCTGGGTCCCTTGCCAAAGAGCCGCTGATGTGAACTTCACAAGTACAATGTATGTGGCTGTGACAAGCCCCAAGTTCAGGACATTTTGAGCTCATTGGCTATGAATGCAAGTCTTTTGAAAATCCTTCCTAGGCCAAACAGCCTCAGAAGCCAGCCCATAACTTGGAGCCAGTGATGGAATCAGAGGGTAGGAAGGGGTACTGCTGCAGGTTTCTGACAGCATAGCCTGCTCTCACTGAGCCCCACACTTAAACCACCCCAGGAGTGCACGGTGGTGCCACTGCTCATGGTCTCAAAGACATCGAAATGCCAGAATAGTATACAACAGTAACTAATTATCAGGCTTTTGGAAAGGCAAACCTTTGTGGCTCATCTGCATGAGTGCAACCACAGTAGCTGCAACTCAGCTCCTGAAGCTCTGGCAAGCAAGAGATGCCCATAATAGCAGTACGCAGGTCAGCAACTACTAGTTAGCTTTAATTGCAGACAGCAGCTCCATTACTGCAGCAGCAAGGGCTTACACCCTCTGCTTAGAGACATAGCAGATAATCAACTCCAGGCTGCTTTAAATGCTTACACACACAGCAATTGCAGCCATTTTACATCCTCTGAGTGCTGGTAGCACTTACTTTTCCCAAAATTTGCTTTTCTTATTTGAACACTGTATTTTCCATCCTGTTGAACCAGGCCTGGCCCTGGTACAAAGTGAGCTCAGTCCCAAGGAAGTGCCATTAGCCATACACATGATAGCTGTCAATGGGGAGTTTTCTACTGACTGCTGCGTGCAGTTTAACACTCGCTAGAACACTTACATCTGCATGCTGTAGCAGCCAAGTTGCAAGCACTGAAATTGCTGATAGAAATACTTCATGTTTTCAATAACCAGAGAAAAGTGAACGTTTGGTAAACAAGAACAACTGCAATTAGCTTTAAAAAGAGAGACCCAAACAACTGTGACTGATCTGATTAAAGTACAACAAACTCAGAGTTGACCTGGTACAACCTGGTAAAGTACTTCTCACTGAGTCATTCTTCACATTTTACCAGAACAGAATCTACAGGAATGGTCTGTTCATGGTTGCTGGGCTGGGGTGTTTTTTTCCTTTCCTACAGCTAGAAAATCTTTAAATGAACTTGCTCCATGACTAAATGTAGACAGGAATAAGGAGTGGAAATAAAGCCAGCTTGCTCCACATGCTCTCTATGGTGAGAAACTGCCTAATTGGCATGTGGAACACATCAAAGCAGCCCACAGGTCCCCCATTTGCTAGAGGTCTCATATCTTGGCTTACTCCAAAATGCCTCTCTTACCATTACCAATTGGAGAGAAGAGCCAGCCTCCTAAAAGGGCAGATTCAGCCCCCAGAAAATCCTTTGGCTATTAACCCCCATGCAATACTCTTGCTATGGAGGGCACACACATTCCTGCTAGAGGCTGGTTTTCTAAAGCACTTCTTTTATGAAGCTTTTGTGGGATGTTCTAAAGCAGAGCCCTACACAGCCCAAGGTAACCCTTATCAGAGCTAGGGCTGCAGGCTGCTGCAGCACTACCCACTCACAAGAAGGGCTGGCTGGAAGCTGCTGGCATCCTGGGGAGCAGAAACGCTCACCTGAAATCCTCCTCCACAATCCACAATGCCCAATCACTTCCTTTCTGCCTCAGAGCTGTGCAGGCAGCAGGAATGACTTTCTGTCTGGGCAGACACTGGCCTCCTCCTAGCATCCCTCCCTAAAGGGCAGCTGATAGCATTTCTGCTCCTGCTGCTCTTCTCACCTTTCCCAGGTTAGAGTCTGCAGGAGATGTGGCAGTGTATTTTTCCCATAACCAGCTTGAACAAAGAAGTGACATAAACTTTAGCTGAATGGATTGCAGATGTATGTGCTGCTTTACAGCTAGCATCTGTGTTTAGAAAGCAGATAATGAGAAGACAATTTCTCTTAGCAGTTTAACACTAAGTAACTGTGTCTTCCAATAAAGACTTCAACCTCAAGGCTCTGAGTCATTACAATACATGACACAGATAACTACAATGATTAGACGTAAGAGTTCATCACTGGTCCTAATGGACTACAGCCAGCAAAACTCATCATTTTACTCAGATCCATATGTTAAGACATCACAAAAAAAGTGTTTTACCTAACTTTAAAAAATATAATTAAGTTTTCTACATATACTAGGTACTTGATATAAATCAACATGAGTT